CTAGTCCCACTAGTGGATTTGGAATTCACTTGTTGGTTAACCTGAACCTTAGTTAAGGATGAATTGTTAAGTAAGGAAACAACATAATTTAACTTCTCAACATCAAAAACATGCTCCTGATCCAGATCAGGCACTCAAAGGACCTCAAATCTTGAACCAACATGAGATTCTTGCTTTCTGCCACTATTTCCAGAGGTCTCAGTAGAGTGAGGGAGATTCATTCTCTTTCTAGAAGGTTTTTTGGCTAGCATCCAGGGTCCAAATTGATCCTTATCTTGGCTACTAGAGCTTCCCTGATCAGTCATAATTTGATCCCTAATTTCCTCGTTGCTAGAAAGCACTACCCCTTCAGTTCCAACATATTTATCACTCATATTAATAGTGGGAGCAGGCTCACCCTGACTTATTAAAGGATAATCAGCACACTGTTCTTGCTTATGCTCATATTTACCACATTTAAAACATATGAGGTGCATACTCTCATATTCTACCTTAAATTCCTGGCTCAAAGCTTTAAAGGCTGGGACTAAATTCCGTCTAAAGTCAATTTTTATGCATATTCTAAACATGGGACTTTTGTAAATGCAGCAAAAGAGTATGATAGGAATTGGTAACAAATTTTTAAAACTTACCTTTTTTTAAAAAAAAAAAAAAAGTAAAACTGTTTGTTATTTATAAAATATAAACAGTTGATAATTTTTTTAAATATTTAAAAAACTTGTTGAGCTAGGATTTAACTTTTAATTTACATTTACCATAAATTTTTATTTCATTTTTACTTTTATTTTTTAATTAAATTATATATAAATATAAATGTTAAATTTTTTTTTCTCGTTTAATTTTAATATTATTGTTAGTGTAATATTATATGTCAATTTTAATCATTTACTCTAAAATTATAAATTCTAATTTTGTCAAAATAGATAGTTTAGCGACATGACCGAAATAAAGTTATACATACCAATATACATGTTTTGAATGTATATTTATACAGTAATTTAATGCATATTAAACCCTCATTCAAATAATTATGAATTTATATTTAATTTATTTTTTAACAAATTATATATAATAAGATTTAATATATTAATATTATTAAATATTATAATTTATAAGAATAAATATTTTTTTATTACATGTAAGTTTGCCCAAGTAAAAAATATTTTATAAAATCACACAAATTTTATATTAAAAATAACATTAAATATTACAAATTTTAATAAAAATATATCATTTAATAAAATTTTATTGTACATTATCAGACATCTACTGAATAAATGTTATTCATTTAATTTTATATTATTAATTAAAAATTTTATTGAAATTTCACATTTATATTTTTGTAATATATTTTTAAACACAAAATTAATTTTTATTGCGTTCCAAAAAAATCCATTTACACTACTACCTTCCAAAAGTTATGAGGCATCTGCAATGATCATTTGTCTAGTGCCTAAAGTGTATATTTTCCTAAAATGCGAGAGAAAAATTGTTAAAAATATAATTTTTGAATTTTTTAAGAAAAAAGCCTGGTAAGAAATTCAGTAAAATATTTAAATCCTCAATAAAAATAAAAAATAAAAAATTTGAAATACAGTGTGAATATAAAAATATGACATGAAAACATTAAAGTTAAATTCTATGTTTTAAAAAAAGTATTTAATTCCTTAAGTACTGGGTATAAGATTCTAATTAACAATACACCTCTCTTTTATTAATCGTTACTTTGGTATACTTTACATAATTTTTAGAACATCAATTATTTAATTTTATTTAAAAATAATAAAATGGTCGAAGGAACAATTTTTATGTTGGATTATACTTAGTCAATACTTCATTTGAATTTATTCATCACATATGTGTATTTAATATTTTATTCATTAATTAAGTTAGAATTAAAAAATTAACACTTTTTTTTATATTTATAAATATTCATACCATATATATATGATATTTGATAAATATGAATTTACTTCGAGGTTTGAGAGGCCCATTAAGTTTGACAACGCAATTTCATGTTTGATCCTTTCTCAAGCTTATCTGATTTCACAATCACTTGTAATAGATTTTTAAGACAGAGTTTGTCCTAATGTTTTTTAGACGTTGAAAATGATTTTTATTTAAAATTAAAATTTTGATAATTTTATATATTTTAAAGTTTAAATATTCCTGAAATACTTTTTAAAAAATGCATTCAGGCTATAATATTTAAAATAAAAGAAAAAGAAAAAAATGTAAAAATTAATGATTCTTAACAAAAATTAAAGCTCTTTTTTTTTAAAGTTGACTCATTAATAATTTATTTAAAATTATATTTTTGGAATTTTTATATGGAAAAAATAAAAAAATAGTGTTTTAGAAAAAAAACTAAAAAAAGTATAATTTAGAAAACTGATATTTTTTATACTTTAAAATTTTTCTATTGATTTTTAAAAAAATTCTAGCTGGTGATTTTTATTTTTAATTTTTTTATTATATTTTTTAAAATTGTCACCAACAAAATATTTTTTATAATTTTTAAAAATTACTAATTACGATTTTTGAAATTTTATAAATTTTTATTATTCCATCAACATCTATGTCAAAAATCGTCACTCACAAATTTTAAATCATATTTTTTTTTCAAAAATCTTATAAAATTTTAAATCTCATATATAAATAAGTAATCCTATTTTTCTCACCATTTCATCTGGTCAAATTTACCTTTTTAAGAAAGAATCTAAAATAAAACAAGCTAAGCACTTTTATTATTACTTGAGACCCTTTAGTTTTTAAAATTACATTCCTTACCCCGATTAATTCTCAAGCTGAGTCTAACAGATTACAGAACCATTTACATAAACATAACTCTTCTAATATTTATTTTTTTCACAAAATTTAAATCTGATATACTTAAAATTTATATATTTTTTTAAACTAGATTTTACAACTTCACGGCAAAAAATCAATTTTTAGATAAAAATATTCAGCTATAAAACTATTGTTAAGATTTAATTGTGACTAAAATTAACTATAAAATAAAATAAAATAAACTAAAATCCCCAGTCAAACACGCACTCGTTAACCGTTAAAATCCCCAGTCAAATACACACTCATTAACCGTTAAAATCCTGAGTCAAAAGAGGAAGGGTATGACAGTAATCTCACGTGAAATTGCACATTGTTATTCATTGCAAATCCCACACGCAGATCAAGAAAATGATCGTCGTTCAACGTTCAAAAGGGCAAGACCGTAATCTTGGAAGGCTTTTCTTGCCCTCTGTCTCACTGGTCCTACTCCTCACTCATGCACTACTGGTTTATTTTCAAAAAATTATATAAAACTATTTATATAGTAAATTTCAATTATACAGCTGCATTTTATTTTATTTTATTTTCTATATTCATAAAAAAGAAACAACAGACACAAAACGGCGACGGTAGCTGCGTATTATCTTCCGTACAGTGCCAGCTGGACTCCGCTAACTCCAGCTGTGCTCACGCCACGCACCACTGAACTGTTTTCATCAATAAATAATTCATATTCATTCTTCTTGTTTCTTTTAAAAAAATAAAATAAAATCACCATTTCATTTGATAAAATTATTAAAATAATAATTATTTTTTAAATAACATTTGTAAAAAACCGTATGACAATGTTGGGAACAAAAATTGATGGTGGGGAAATCAATAATTTTGTCGCGCGAGTCACGAGATTTTGAAGTAGTTTTATAGATCGCAGTTAATTGAAGAAGGAAGTGGGTAAAAGGAATGATCGTGACCGTACATTTATGAACTGTGCTTAGGGGACGCAGAAACTAGTTGACTTCACTTGGGTTGCCCTTAATAAATTGTAGGGTATCCCATCTTAACTTTTAATAAAACACGTGCTAGGAATTCGCTGTGCCCTACACCTAGAAAACAAAAATTGATTGGACCTTGGGTGACCTGTGTGAGGCCCATTTGACAATGACAACAAATATCAAAGTTTGGTAATCACAGACACAACACTACCACCACCTTTTACATCACATTCGCAATATATATATATATGTTCGATTCCATGCCTTTAATTAATTAATAACGAAACCCTCAACCATTCCAAAATGGAAAACATATAGTTAGATCCTATTTACGAATCAAATATTCGCTGATAACATTGAAGATTATAGTTTCAAAAAGTGTTTACTATTTCTTAATTTTTTTAATATGTGTTATTGGACATATGGTAAAAAAGTTGAATTATTAAATAATTTGATTTCTTTATTCGAAATTACAACTCTTAGCCTTGTGGGCCATAAACAAATGGTTCACTTGAGATTGAGGTAGCAAAATAAGAGTGTATAGACTCGTTTGAAGATTATCATGGGTTTGGGAAAGTTTGGCCCAACAAGCTACCTTCGTGGAAAATAAAGCCCATAATCTAACTGTTTTGACCAAAAATATGGAATAAGGACCGTTACATATAGACAAGTTTGTTCTCGTTTGTGGACCTAGACTTTTCACACCACCTTCCTCATTTTTACAATTTAATTTTTAAAAGTTAATAATACCTTTCAAAATTTTATTTTCAAAATTATAAAAAGAATAATGTAATTTAAAAAGGCGATAAAAATTAAAATATTTGTCACAAATTAAGTCTAAATGATTTTTCAAATAAAATTGTTTAAGACTCTTTTCAAAGTTTATTTAATTTTAAAAAATATTTCATCGTAAAAAAATTAATTCAAATAAAAACAATTTAATTTTTTAAATGATTAATTTAAATCCGTATGAATAATAACATACTGCTTATTATTTATTAGTTTTTCATTTAACCATTTTAAAATTACATACTTATTAAAATATAAAACTTATATAGAAATTTGAACTCCTGTACCTATTTAGAAGTGGAGTCTTTATTACAAAATATGTTTTTAAAATACAAGGTTAGTCCTAAAAAAAGAAAAGTCTGTGACGACACCGTTCTGTGTGTTCCCCGGTGAAGTCATAGCATAGGCAAACGGTGTTGTTTGGTTGGGAATCAGAAATCGGAAGCAGAAGAATTGAATCGAAGATGAGTCGGAACGATTCCAAGTACTTCTCCACAACAAAGAAGGGTGAAATCCCTGAGCTCAAAGAAGAGCTCAATTCTCAGTACAAGGTAGGTTTTCTTTCTCCATCTCTTTCTTGATCTCATTCATTTCATGCGATCTTCCCCTTCCCCTTCTTTCACCTTCCAATTTCCCTTCAATTTCATACATTTCGATCCCCTGTAACTGCCACAGATGATAGTTTTCTGATTTATTCAAATATTCATGCAGCAATCTATCACTCCTTAATCTGTGATAGTCTACGGCTAGTGAGCGTTCATTAAGGGACGGTTTGAATTTTAGGACTCGAAAATAAAATTTAGGGGTTTTAAATACGGTGAAATCTGGAAGATTTTTTTTTTCTTTTTTAGGGAATTCGCTAGTTAGCATATACTAGGTGAGAGGATGCCACAATGATATGACATGATTTATGCTTATAGACAAATCATTGACCTCAAGATTCTTCTTTATGGTTTCGTCTAATTTTTCTCAGCTTCCCTCTATCTCTGTTGATTGGGCTACACTTTGATCTGATATACTCCCCTTACCGGGGCTTTCATGCCCAAACCACCTAAGCCAGATTCTAACATTTTTCTTTCTATAATAGGTGATATCCCAAATTCCCAACTCTTTCTCTAATGAATTCATTTATGATCCTATCTTGTCTAGTATGTCTATCATCTGACGCAGCATTCCCAAACCAATTATGTTGATTTTATTTTCTTTTCATATTTTATTTGTCCTTCTTGTCTATCTAAGTTCAACATTTGACCAACTATTGCCACCTGTCAGGCAATTATGACATTATGTTACATTTGTATCGTTGTAATTTTTTATTTTCTTCTAATTATGATATTATCTTTGTGTACATAGTTTCTTGGACTTCTCTGTCTTGCCTTTTCGTTAGTCTCTCCTTTATTGGTGTAGTTGAAAATTTTCTGCAAGAAAGTATGTGAAGATTACCTTTTTCTTTCGTGCCTTGCAGGACAAAAGAAAAGATGCTGTCAAGAAAGTTATTGCTGCAATGACTGTTGGGAAGGATGTCTCATCATTGTTCACTGATGTGGTGAATTGCATGCAAACAGAAAATTTGGAGTTAAAGAAGCTGGTCTACTTATATCTGATAAATTATGCAAAGAGCCAGCCTGACCTAGCAATACTTGCAGTGAATACATTTGTGAAGGTAAAAGATAGAGTGACTGTGCTCCTTCCTCATGTAATGTTGTTTATTAGTTCTTTCTTGTCCTTCTCATCCTTTATTATCATTCATTTCTTAACTTTTTGGGTTGTTTTGAATATATGTCCCCTTTTCCCATCTCATCTTGTATGGTCAGTTTTTTATTATCTCACTGTATGAAACGCATCCCATCCATGAACACTGGATGAGGGTGTCAATTTACCAAGGGAGATATTTGTCTGAAAACATAGCTTATTATTGTGTTTGTACTCATGACTTGAATATTTCTTTCTCTCTCTCTCTCCTAATGGAAAATAATCAGAAGTTTTAACGATGCATTTCTTTCTCCTTTCTTTTTATAAAATGCTGCACAGGATTCGCAAGATCCAAATCCCTTGATTCGTGCCTTAGCTGTACGGACAATGGGCTGCATTCGCGTTGATAAAATTACTGAATATCTGTGTGATCCCCTTCAAAGATGCCTAAAGGTACATAAATGGCACCATTACAATTGAAACACATCTATATGAAGTTTAAATTTCTCTGGTTGACATCAATGCCAAAGTCTATTTTTACCCTGTTTGTAACTCTCATTTGTATATGATGTTTTGACAGGATGATGACCCATATGTTCGTAAGACAGCAGCCATTTGTGTTGCCAAGCTTTATGACATAAATGCAGAGTTGGTTGAGGATAGGGGTTTTTTGGAATCTCTGAAGGATTTGATATCTGATAATAATCCCATGGTTGTAGCTAATGCTGTGGCAGCACTTGCCGAAATTCAGGAAAACAGTAGTAGACCAATCTTTGAGATCACTAGTCACACACTGTCAAAGCTCCTTACTGCTTTAAATGAATGTACAGAGTAAGTTTGTTGTATATTTGCTAACACAATTGAAACTAGAAACGGTTGTGAAATTTTCTTTAATGCAACTCCTCTCTCCCTTTATGGTTGATTGTTCATTGGTTGCAGCTGATTTAAGTTATGATTTTTTTTAATTTTTTGTTAGGGAAATTCACTTTAATTCCTACCTCATTCAAAAAGGATTTGGTTGTTGTTGTAGGGGAAAATATTCTAATTAACCATCTTTAGTAGAGATTTTAACCAAAATAAACTAGAGTGTGACAGTCCTGAGCAAGTCTGCAAAGTTCCATATAATGAAAAAGTTCTTTATCCTTATCTTCATTCTTATCAATCATATCCTTACAAACATGCCTTTTTTCTCCCTCTCTTTTCTTTTTCCCAGATTGTGCAATTGTGCATGAGTGGTGAAAATTGTAAAATGCACTTTCTCATGTTGCATTACCAGTATCATTGTGTAGTTTGTTGGATTTTTCTGTTTTCTTGCAAATCAATATATTATCCTAGTTAACATGGTGTAGATGTTGACAATTGATGCACTTGTATCATAAACCCAACAAATCTCACTAAGTTGTTTTACTGTTTTATTGATTATGCAATATACTGGTTATTATTTTATTGTCTTAGCTCTTCTTTATTCATCTATGATTATATATTGGTTCGTTAACCTAACAACACTTGCTTTTGCTTCATGTGCTAGATGGGGGCAAGTTTTCATATTGGACGCTCTTTCTAGATACAAGGCAGCTGATGCTCGTGAGGCAGAAAACATAGTAGAAAGAGTTACTCCACGCTTACAACATGCCAATTGTGCTGTTGTTCTATCAGCTGTTAAGGTGTTTTTTCTAGTGTTACCATGTGATGCTTTGGAGATCACATTTTCTCGGTTTCATAACCACAGTTTATAATGACTTGTAGATGATCCTTCTGCAAATGGAGCTTATCACCAGTACTGATGTGGTTCGGAATCTTTGCAAAAAGATGGCCCCTCCTCTTGTGACATTACTCTCTGCAGAACCTGAGATACAATATGTAGCACTGCGGAATATCAATCTTATAGTACAAAGAAGACCAACAATTCTTGCTCATGAAATTAAGGTAGTAATTTGAATATTATTTTGTGAACTTGTCAGGTTAATGACACCCTTGAACATTAGTGAAGAACTCTATTCCATTGGGGAGGATGTGATGCTTATGAACCGCATGTTCTATCTGCAGGTGTTTTTCTGCAAGTACAACGATCCCATCTATGTGAAAATGGAAAAGTTAGAAATTATGATAAAACTTGCTTCAGACCGAAATATAGACCAGGTAATCTTTGCATTATACTATTTTAAGTAAATATTTTCCTCCCCATCCCCATTTTTTTCCATATGGTCAGAATTGATTTCAGTTGTTTTAGCGATCACTTACAAAATTTCTTCTTTTATCAAGAAACAAATACATGGTAACCGGTTAGCCTGTCCCATGGATGAGACTTAACGATTTGAGCTAACGGTTTTATACTTTCTCTGTGTTTTGGATGAAACCATGTCCTTTTAGTTTCTCTATTCTCACCTACAACATTTCTTCTTTTATCAAGAAACAAATCGTCTTGTGGCCTGTCACATGTATGAGATTCACATATCTTTTCTGCATTTGGTGCATTACTGCATTTCCATTTATTTGAGCCAATTTAGCTGAACATCTTTGCATGTAAACTTTCGAAGTTTGTGCATCTTCACTCTGTTTGGCACGTTAATGGAGCCAGTTTGTTTGTTTGTTTTTAAATTTTCTATTATAATGTTGCAGGTTTTACTGGAATTTAAAGAGTATGCTACTGAAGTTGATGTAGATTTTGTACGAAAGGCTGTTCGTGCAATTGGGCGATGTGCCATCAAGTTAGAGAGAGCAGCTGAACGATGCATTAGTGTTTTGCTTGAGTTGATCAAAATAAAAGTAAATTATGTGGTTCAGGAGGCAATCATTGTTATCAAAGATATATTTAGAAGATATCCCAACACGTAATATTAACTTCCATTTTCTGCATTTATTTTTTGGGGAGAAGATAACACAGCTAGTGAATTACTATTAGACTTCAAAACTTTGTTTGAATCTTTGTTCTACCTTGTAGATACGAGTCCATAATTGCAACCCTTTGCGAAAGCTTAGACACATTGGATGAGCCAGAAGCCAAGGTATTTGTTTCTGAGTGCTTTTGTACTTGTCATGACACACTAACATATATATGTTTTCATCATTTCACCTGTGTGCGTAGGCATCAATGATCTGGATAATTGGTGAATATGCGGAAAGAATTGACAATGCTGATGAACTTCTTGAAAGTTTCTTGGAAAGTTTCCCTGAAGAACCTGCGCAAGTCCAATTACAGTTGCTGACTGCTACTGTCAAGCTTTTCCTCAAGAAGCCAACTGAAGGCCCACAACAGATGATTCAGGTCCTTCCTCAAAATACAGTTTAGTTCATATTGACATGGTTAACATGCCACTATGTTAATTGTTTTAATATTTCAAATTGGACTATTCTTGTACTAAGTATGCAAATACATTCTTCCTTCTTTTATTGAGTGGCACATATAAGCAATTTATAATTTTAATATCAATTGTAAATCATTTCTTTTATAATCTCTTGTTCTGGTCCCACATCAACCAAGTACGTTGGCAAATTATCCTACCCCCGCCCCCACCCCGAACCTCTCCATGATGACTTGGGCTCTCACCTCCCTTGATTTAGTTGTTTGGTTTGAGGTAGGCCTAGTCCATTCTTAATTGTAATATGATATTAGAGCCTATTCCATTCCTAAAGTTGAGCCTCCCAAAAATTTTTAATCCTGCAAATTTCACAGTTTAGATATCTAGTCCTATGTATGAGGGGTGTGTCTTAGGATCTTATTGATGAAGTATACAGGCAAAGTACCTTATAATGGACTTGGAGCAATTCCCCTTCCTTGAGAGCTTTTGAGTTGAGGTAGATCTTATCTATTCTCAATTCTAATATCCTTGGGAAAAGAAGTCATTGTGTTATTGAAAAATGCATGATTGAGATTATGTTAGAAAATTCCTATAATTATTGGAAATAAATTTAAAAGACAATCTGTCATTCTATCATTAGTTGTCTTAGTTATGACTCCCAGACCTTCCTTTGTACATTGTTTCATTTTTTCCCTCCTTGAAAGTTGTTTAATAAGGTATCTTCACACTTGCATCCTATGTCTCACTTAATTACTTACCTTTGCAGGTTGTTTTGAACAATGCTACTGTGGAGACAGATAATCCTGATTTGAGAGATCGGGCATACATATATTGGCGTCTCCTTTCAATCGATCCTGAGGTTTTATTTCTTGAATCTGAATCCAATCTTTTATTTTCAATAATTTTCACATGAGGTTAATTAATCAAGCTGTATATCCAATGAAGGTTAGATAACCACCAAAGTTATTAAATATGACTTCTTTACAGAAGACTGCTTAATCTGTTTTATTATTCTGTGCAAAATACTATTATAGGGTTAACCTCTTGGCTGTTAATTGCTTGTCTGTGTCTAAATCACATGGAAATAATAGGTCCAATGTTATCAATGGTAGAGGACAGGTCATGCCAAAAAGTCAAAAATCTGCCATAAAATCATAGCGGATGCGATGGCAGGTTATGGCAGTTGGCAGACATAATAAAATATATAAAAAAATATTACAGGTCATAGGAAATGATAGAGAGGAAAGCTGAAATAAAGAGAGAAATTATTTTGAGGAAAAAAAGATAAAAACATAGATGTGGGAGAGGGAAAAACTGAAATAAAGGAAAAAATTAAAATAAGGGAAAAACTAAAAGGGAAAAACTGAAATAAAGGAAAAAATTAAAATAAGGGAAAAACTAAAATAAGGGAAAAACTAAAATAAGGGAAAAACTGAAATAAAGAAAGACTGAAAGAGGGAGAGGGAAAAATGAAAAACAAAGGCTACTAGAAAAAATGGAGTTGCTAGAGATGGAGGTAGTAACTGCGGGAGATGTAGTAGTGGTTGTTGGAGTCATAGCAGCAACAGTTGCTGGAGACTGGCGAAGGATGAGGAAGAACTGGGGTTGAATGAGTGAGACTGTGAGAGTGAGGATGAAGCACAGAGATGAGGGCATGAAGCAGAAACACGAAGAAGAGAGAGGAAGAAGAGATGCAATTGCATGATTTAGGGTTTGGGTTCGTGGGTTGTTCTTTGGATTGGGTCAGGTCAAAGGCCCAACCCAATTTTTTTTGTGAAAACTGCCATGGCTGCCATGCATGTAATGGCCGCCATGGTGCCGCCATTGAAAAGCTGCCATATTCCGCCATGGTCATGGCAGATTGGTCGAAAAATGCCACCATTACCTGTCATGACACCACCATAACTGTTTTTTTGACAACTTTGTATGGGTCTTTTCCATTCTCTTTTTAATTTCTTGAACCTGTATGGAGCTGTACATTTGATGTATATAATTTATTTTAACCAGGCAGCTAAGGATGTTGTGCTAGCTGAGAAGCCTGTGATAACTGATGACTCAAACCAAATTGAACCTTCTCTACTTGATGAGCTTCTTGCCAACATTGCTACATTATCTTCTGTTTATCACAAGCCTCCAGATGCTTTTGTGACTCGTGTACACTCTTCAGCTCAGAGAACTGAAGATGAAGACTATCCTGAGGGAAGTGAATCTGGGTTTTCTGAGTCAGCTGCAAATCCTGCTAATGGTCCTGCATCACCACCTACTGCCAGACAATCAGCACCTGCATCTGCAACAGCTGCACCGGCCACAACTCCATCTGTTGCACCTGTGCCAGATTTACTTGGCGATTTGATAGGCATGGATAATAATTCTATTGTTCCTGTTGATCAGCCAGCTACTCCTACTGGGTCAGTGCATCTTGGGATCATCAGCATTTTTTTATGCAATCTCCTGTAGTGTGTTTTGGAAGCATTGCATATAATTTGATTTTATGATTAAAAAAAATGTTACCTTTATATAGAAATTGTGATTAGTGAAAACTGTGTTTTTCAGATATCTTAAATATTAAAATATGGTTAAATGAGTTTCAACATGACGTCAACATCCTGAGAAGTTTCAAAAGCCTTTACTTACCCTGCTTGTGAAATCATGTCTAATTAGATCTTATGCCTTGATTGCAGTCCTCCATTGCCTATTTTATTACCTGCTTCAACGGGCCAGGGTTTACAAATCAGTGCACAAGTGACTAGACAAGATGGTCAAATCTTTTATAGTTTGTTGTTTGAGAACAACTCTCAGGTTCCACTTGATGGCTTCATGATTCAATTTAACAAGAACACATTTGGTCTTGCAGCTGCAGGACCCCTACAGGTTTGTTATTGCATATATGTTTTTCTACATGGATGTTTTTATTGACTTGTGTTCTAATAGATTTCTGCTATCGATCAGGTTCCACAATTGCAACCTGGAACGTCAGCTAGGACACTCCTCCCTATGGTTATGTTCCAGAACATTTCGCAAGGTCCTCCTAGCTCACTTTTACAGGTTGCTGTGAAAAACAATCAACAGCCCGTGTGGTATTTCAATGATAAAATCGCATTGCATGTATTTTTTACTGAGGATGGTAGAATGGAACGTTCAAGTTTTCTAGAGGTATTTCTTTTTCCCATTCAATTGATCCTTCAACTTAACTGCAATAGGTTTGCACTTCATAATTCTATGACTTTTTGTGCTTAAAATTTTCAATTCTTTCATAATTTCATGGGATTGGTCAGTTTAGCTATGGTTATTTTCCAGAATAAGTCTGTCATATTTAAACTTGAATTCAGAAATGGAAAACCTGATTATTAACTGCACTGCAGACATGGAGGTCCCTTCCTGATTCAAATGAGGTTTCCAAGGACTTCCCAGCCATTGTGCTTGGCAATGTGGAAGCCACACTGGAACGTCTGGCTGCATCGAACATGTTCTTCATTGCAAAGCGCAAGAATGCAAACCAGGATGTGTTTTACTTCTCAGCTAAACTCCCTAGAGGGATACCATTCTTAATTGAACTTACCACAGTGATTGGAAACCCTGGCGTCAAATGTGCAATCAAGACTCCAAGCCCGGAAATGTCAGGACTTTTCTTCGAAGCCATTGAGGCTCTTCTTATGGGTTAATGAGTTTTTTTCTTTCTTAATTTGTTTATATATTGTTTTTGTTAGTATATTTGATAAATATCCTGGACAGGTGTGTTATATCTTATTTGGAAAAAAAAAAAAAAAAATCCACTTTTACCATATGCTGCCCCTAACTGTATTTTTGGTACTGCCATTTTTGCTGATATGGGAACATTGGATGTAGTTGTGCTGTTGTGGACAGCTTTTGTTAGAGATTCGATGGCTTGTATTGCGCTGTTTGTAAAGTGATTAAATTGATGCTGTTACCATTTCATATGGATTTTGGATGTTTCATTGGATATACAAGCACTGTGTAGGGGAAGGGGAATATGGTAGATGGTAAAATATCAAACCTCCTGTCATGACACCCAAATCTTAAAATGTGTTTACGCAACATTTTATCATGAAACTACCTTTTAAATTTAGAAAAAAAGTTAAAAAAATGAGTAGTATGCAATTTAGAGAATACATAGTTAAGATAATATATATATATATATATATATATATATATATATATAATGAAAGTTTAAGAGTAATGAAAACTAAGATTTTGAAATTTGAAAGCTTAACATAAAATGATGAAAAATAATCTTAATATATAAGAAAGTTTTAAAATATAAAAAATATTAGTCACGTCTCATAAAGAGGGGAAAAAAGCATAATAAAAAATAAATGCAATTTAATGTAGTTTTGTACATCTACATATAAATTTTTCAGATAAGTTTCTATATATGGCTTTTGCACACCTCAAAAATCAAAATAATGCAAAATTTCAAACTCTTCATTTGTCGTTGCAGCCTAACAAATCACTGGTCAGTAGTAAAAAGAACAAAATATTCCTCCAATGCATCACCTGACCTGATCTGCCTAGCTTCTCCAACTGCTGTGTTGGTCTCAAATGTGATAAAAGACATCACCTAACTTGATCACATTCAGTGAGTCGAATAGCAACTCGGATTCTAGCCATGAACCAAAATTCAACACAGATTTTCTCGTTGCCTACTTCATCACCAGCCTGGTTCAGAATCTTTACGAGTTACCTTATGATCTCCTAACCTCTTTTCCACGATCGATTTGGTCAAACGTACTACAATGGGTATTTGGCATTATTTCTAGCCATGCTATTTCCAATGCATATCTTTTGGGAATGTCTCATTTCTTCTTCAGAATCATACTGTGATCGCTGTGAACAAGGAATAATGAAGAAATGAATACTCACAAAAGTCAAAATATTTCTTACAGTGGGATAAAGACACAAAATACCTTGGCAGTGTCTGACAGTACTGCATATGCCTCTCCAATTAATTTGAAAAGCCTGTCAGCATCTTTGCATACTTCTTCAACAATATCCTTCCATATATGATCATCTCCACCGTCACTTCTTGCCAAAATTTGGCCAGCCTAAATGATATAAATATAGTCAAGTCCTATTAACAAGTAAGTAAGCACTCTTTAAGAAATTAATAAATAATTTTTTTATTAAAAAAAAAACATGGTGAGTACATTAAAATTTATAGGGAGAGTGCATTATTATAATTCTTAAATTAAAAAAATTCATTTTTAATTCTTTAACCGGTATCACATCTGCCATATAGTTAAAATGATTATTATTGTATGAGCATCTAACAAAAGAGGCCAATCAAACAACCTTGTCAGGGTGATGTCTAAGTGCGGCTTTGTGATAGGCCCTCTTGATTTCAGATGATGAAACAGAATGTTCAACTCCCCTGCCATCATAATCTGAATCAGCAGATGCCTTAAATGATTGATAATATTGACATAAATTAGTAACTGACAGTGTTCTCTAGCTAATAAAAGCATGCTATTTCTGTCACTGATGAAGCACAACATGCACAGTGTGTAAAAAGGCTTACAAAATGAGGTACATATCAAGAGGGATTCCCTTTCTGGCTTCCTCCTCTATTTCGGAAAGCCAAATTTGGTTATGTTTCAAATCATTGGCATAATTGATTGATCTATCAGATGTGCCATGCAACTGCAAGTTGCTTGTATCCTCATCCCCCTTCATGAGAAGGGAGACAACTCTCCTAATATCGCTGGCTGCTTGATCATAATCCCTTATCATCTCATATAGAGTTGCACGCCTAGAAAGTGCCTGCAAGAGTGTAAAAACATTACCCTCTTATGATCATTTTAACAAACGTGAAATTGAAGTATTAAGCCAAACATTTCACATCCTACCTTGATTCTGTCCATTTTAAAAGGTAGTATATAAAAATAATTTTGTAAGCATCAGTCTTTTGGATTGATTTTAATTATATAAAAATAATAAGTTTTTATTAAAAAATATTTATTACATATTTGTATATGATAAATATTTAATTTTTAATAAGATTTTATTAATTTTAAATGTTTAAAGTCAGTCCTAAAAATTGATGTTAATATTTTTTATATTAAAGTTATGTTTAACCTCCCCGTGCGATTTCCATTACCATTCTCTTTTATTTATGATAAATGTGTAAAATATTTAAAAACTAAATAAAAATAAAAGAAATTATTGAAAAGATAACAATTAATGTTATCTATGACTTCTAAAAAAGATAAACAAATTTAGAAACTTATTGAAAAGTGGTATATGTTTAAAAGAATTCTAAATGAAATATACAAATATAAGAGCAATGTAGGAGACTTTTCAATTTTGATTAAATTGATTTGTTACTGAATTATTTGAGAATTTTAAAATAAGTTGGTATATTTTATAAGTTTGTAATTATACACTTAAATTTACAGAATCATATTAGATCTCCGTTACATTTTATTTAAGATAATTATCAAAAGCTAATTAAAAAAATTTAAATAGTTTAGAGACCTATTAAATAACTAAACTAGCAACTTAGTTCCTAATTTTTTTAAAAAAATAAATCATTGTAATTAATAGAAACTTAATGGAAATTTAGTTAGGTGTTCAATTAAAGATAATTTAAAATTTAGAGACTTAATTATAAAGTTTTAAAGTATTTTTAAACAAATCAGAAAATTACAAACTAATTTAACCTTTCTAAAAAACAAAATGCGGTTGATAAAACTGATGAGAAAGCAATATCATAAAAAAATGACAAGTTTGTGAGGGATTTTTATCCTATGTCGATTTCTCCCCTTGTGATATCAATTCAAACATCTAAAAAACGTAGTTTCAGTTGAAGAGAGAAACCTTGAAGTATCTTCCATCAAGAGCTATAGCTAGATTGCAATCTGCTATGGCATCAGTTATTTGGCCTAATGCTTTAAATGCAGCTGCACGATTACAAAAACATACAGCTGCAAATGGGAGAGACTCCACATTACATGATAAAGCAGCCGTATAATGTTCAACAGCTTCCTCATGCCTTCCTCCCTGAAATGCTTCATTCCCTGCAATCTACAGTTGTATACATTTTACATCACTCCCTAATACAACCAATTTTCATGTCACAGTAAAACAACAATGTAGCTTATAAATGCTTTGGTCGTGTCCTTCAACATAAGCAAAAGTTGTATTGAAGAAGAGTAGAGAAGCTATAAGTTATCTTATTACTACTCTGACCCTTATGACAGCTTAACAAGAATGATGGTATACATACATAAATCATGAGAAAGATTTCATGAAACACAGTATATGCTAACCTTATGACGTAAGAGCTCACGTATAGTGACAGCTAGTGGTATTAGTGACTCCAAAACCTTGCCTCCACTCCTGCAGGGACAGTATCAATGCTTAACCATATTTAAAATAATTTAGGTGCAGTAACATAGTTGCAGACCTTTAATGCCAATTTTTATTATGACAGTGTTTTTCTCTGATGAAATTTGAATTTCACCTCAGAAATGTGTGGCAACCTTTCATGTCAATTTTTATTGTTGGATTACAGAAGTGAAATTTTAATCGTGATTGGAGAATAGTACTAAAAGCACCTGTGGTACTGCACCTAAGTCACCATCAAACATGTCCATCTTCTCTTTCTTTTTCAATGTTCCCTTGAGGAGAGGCCTTAGCAGGGTGGAAAGATCAAATGTTAATAATACTTACTTGTTTATGGCAGATACCTTTTCCTCTGGTTGCTCCATCAAAGCAAGACCTTCTTCAAGCTTTCCTAGGTGGAAGTATGATTTAAGCATAATTGAGCTCCGCCAAAGCCTGAAATAGAAGCCCTTTGAAAGCTCTGAACTATCAAGATCTGTCACTTTGCAATCAGCATCCAATGGATAAGAATTTTTCTCAGCAGAGGCAAGCGTTTCATCACACAGCTGAATCACCTCCTCATATCTACATAGCTGATTTTTAAAGCAAAAGTTATACAACACACTGCACATTGTTTTATTAAAATGCTAGCATATTATAAGACGTAAGTGCAGACCATAAAAAGAGCCTCCGCTTTCATTTCAAGCAACTTTTCAGAGTATGAACTAATAATCAATGCCTCATTTATTTGTTCCAATGCTCTCTCCACATCAGCTGCTGTTCTTCTTTGCAAAAGTTCATCAGAGTGATTGAATAATTCTGATATTTTCTGCAATCCATTAAAGATGCTTATCAGGTAACGAGGAGGGAAATGAAAAATAAAAGCTAATAATCAAAGCCCCCCACTGTCAAAATAACTACAAAAAGTCAAACCTGTGTCTTCTGCAAGAGATCAGAGACTTCCAGAGCAAATTTTGGATCCACACAAACATCAGTTCCTGATTGCAAACAACTCTTGAAATACTTTGTTGCATCTTCGACTTCCCCCAGAGCAAGGAAACAACTTGAAAATAACGTAAAGAAAAGGACTCAAGGGATAAATCATCTATTTTGATAACTAAATATTTTGCATTACATACAATGTGTTTAAACTTTAAACACATGAACATGCTTTGGCATTGTAGTCTAGAAGTAGAACATTTAACCCAAGTCTGCACGAAATTTTATGAAATTTTCCACAGGAGTCGAAAGGTTATATCATCTACAAAAGAATGGTTGGGATGCAAGGACTAGGTGTTTTTACCTTTTGGGTTTTTCTATTTTCTAATATATCATCAGATACTTAATTTGCATAATTTTAACCTACCTACAGAATCTAACAAGAATTAATGCAAAGATTAAAAAACAAAAATCATCAAAGAGAGCAAAGTACTAGAAAGAACCAAACATTACTTAGATCACTCTACAAAGATTAGAAGCAAAATGGGGCCTTACTTTGCAGCTCTAAGTTGGACCTTGAGGAAATTCGGATCAATTTCAGCAGCCAGCATACAATCTTCAACTGCATCTCTCATCCTACCAAGAGACATGCGTGTGGCAGCACGGTTGCTATAACACAGCATCAACGCCCTACGACCTCTCTCCGATGCTGCTTCTTTAGAAGCGCAATTAACACCTCGTGTGTAACAATCCTCAGCCACAGACAAATTCCCATTTTTATAGGCTTGGTTTCCTCTGTCATAAACACAAATTCACTTCAGTATCGTGAATTTGTACAAACTACTCTGTCGCAATAAAGTTAACTATGAATACTTATTTTGTATCATGCAACCCATTTTGTGTGTTCACACCCACAATAAACACATTTACGTAGTTTCTATTTAATACCAGATTAAAAGTCATTGCAATAAGGCAGGATTTGAAATACAATATAACAAATCTAAGCACATCATAACCAATTGACTGCAAGCATATATTAGTAAGAAAAGTAAAATATAGAATATATATACTAACTTGAGTCGCCATTTTTCACAGGCTTCCTCAGCCGCAATGGTTGAGGCAGAAATGGAAGCTGGCTCCACCTTTATCCTTTGCTCCTCATTCACCTCAGAACCTTTTGTTTTGGGCTGAGAAGCACATACATTGGCTTTCTGATCTTGCCCGGATGTGAAAAGAGAGGAACTTCCAGAAAATTGAGAACAAGTCACAGATGATAATGAACTAAGCAGCTTCATATTTGCAGTGGAGTTGTAAGTATCATGATGGTGACCAAGATCAACTTTTACCCAATTTTTCTTTCTGGGGTGGCGTTTCAGGCTAGATGATTCCACTTCAGCAGCAGCAGCAGCAGAAGAAGCAGAAAATGTGAAGCCAAACCCAATTACATTCCTTGAACCTGAATCACAGCCATCATGGGCTTCAACACTTGAGCACAGAGTGGTTTCAGTTTGTGCTGATGCACGAGCCAAATCACTTTTTATGTCCATTTCATCATTGACAGACTTCAAGCTTCCAGTTTCAACTTGATCATGTTGGTCATCATCACCACAAATATCATTTTCCTCCTCTTTCTCTGTGCCTACAACTTCACGATATTCATTGTGTCCTTGCCAGAGTTGGGTAGGGGTAGAAAGCTTCAGTTTTGGTTTATTTTTATTCATTCTAGTGTTGCTACTTTTTTCCTTCTTTGCACTAAACTTGAATCTATCATTAGCATCACAAAACATGTTAGTTTTGTGTTGTGGTGTCTTGAACTCAATGAAAGATGAGGCTGAATTGTGTTGTTTGGCCGAGAACACAAATTCATCATCATTTTCATCTTTGTTCTTTTCGATTTTCATGTTGCTCATATGTTGCGATGCCAGGTTCAGGTTTTTCTCCATTTCATCAAAACTGAAACAAGAGCTCTTCTTGTAACCGCTTCTTACAAAAACCGTTCACATCAACAGTTTCATTTCTGATTTTCAAACTCTTACGTGTGATCAGCGATTCTCTGTTCCGTAGAATTGAAACTCAAGAAGATTCGGCGTTCGACGGTTCCGTGACGCGTGAATTGAAGGAGAGTGGAACGGGACACACACCGGCGAGGTCGTCGGAGCTCCGGCGACGTGTCGAAATCGAAGTCATTGAATCGGAGTCATCATTAACGGTGCTCATTGGCCTTAATCAAGAGTTTTATAAGCACACATTCAGAAGAAATTCAAGAATAAATGCGACATAATGCAATGCATTAACACTTAAACATAATTCCATCCTAATTAATTAAATGGGCCTTTCCAAATCAAGCGATATTATTCATATCACAATTTGTTATAATTTTTTTTAATTTTCTATCATATTATATATTATATTAATACACCGCTATTAAATAGCGTTTTGTCATATATAATAATTTTACTTCACTGTTGTTATTTTTTTTATTTTTCTCATTATTATGTAAACACAATTTTACTGTATAAATACAATTTTTTTCTTTTAAATAAAATTCATTTTTTTAATAGCATCAAATATACTAACCGCTGATTGCATATAATAATAAAGGAGTAATTTTGCTTAAAGGAAGTGTTATTGTGCATGTATTTGCGTTATTTAAAGTAATTATTTTGAATTACAGAAAAGTAATGATGTTCCCTTTGATAATGATAATGCACTTTAAAGAACTGTCCCAAGCAAAAGGGCACTTCTATTTTCTTTTTCTCACTTTCATTATAATATCACGTGTTTGTCACCTTTTTAAGGGTTCACTTTTTAGTTTTTAGGTTTCTACCTTTTCTTTTCCCTTTCTGTTTTAAGCTTTTGTGATAAATATGTTTTAGTTTTTAAGGTTATTATGAATATTAAATATTGTAAAGTTCAAGACATAAAGCCTAATGACAGACCAACAAAAAACATTGACATCGACCCATCATCAAATTAGGTGTTATGTCAGGGACAATGGCAAAATTAGCAAACATTATCTCTAAATTTGGCTCAAAATAATTAATATAATTAAATATTGCACCAAAGTTTTATCATTTTAATATTATTTGTAATTATTTCATTACGGCCAAAACTTGCATTTTGATTTCATTCTATTTTAAAATTAAGATATTTAAACACATACATACAATTAGAATTCGTTCTATAAACCTGTATCCATCATTACACCTTTATTTTTAACATTAAGGACGAGACACTTTAAATGATTTTGTTTTCATGTTTTGAGCTTGACAAAAAAAAATAAAAAAAATATATATATATATATATATATATATATATATATATAATTTAGTAAGTTAAAGACAAAAAAGTCATACATCTATATGTAAAAATGATTAATCTACATTGAAAAAAAAACTTCACAAGAACTACAGGAAAATTTTAAGAAAAATGTGAAGTTAATTTAATAAATTTTTTTTTTTTTTTGGTTTCGTTTTCTAATTTATTCTATTTCATATATTTTTTAGAAACTTACTTTTAAGAGATCGAATGATAAAAGTAATCTGTACACAAAAGACAGAAAGATTTATTGGGCCATAATATCAAACTCTTTCACATTTATTTGGGCCCTACATATGATAAAAGCCTCGCACAAACATTGAGAGGCTCAAAGTTCTATACTAAATTTGACCGAAAATAAAGTTCTATACTGAATATTTATTATTATTTTAATGCATTCATACATGTTAAAAAATTAATATATAATAATTTTTTTTATTAAAAGATGTAGCATTTAATGTTATTAATGTATTGAATTTTGTGATTTTTATAATTTTTAATGAAAACTTCTTATTGTATGTCCTTAAGTACATGTTAGACATATTGAAAAAATATTTGAAATATTAAAAATAACAGGATTTTGTTCAACGTATTGCAAAAAAATGTGAAACTAAAACTGATGATGAATTCTTGAATTAATATTATACATATCATTTGTTGCAAGTGTTATTTAATGGTTATTTATGTTTATAAAGTTTCATTAGAAAATAAATAAATAGAATTTTAAATAAAAAAAATTGGGTTCAAAATGTGTGAATAAAAAAATATATGTTGAGAGTTTTATCCCTTTAAATGTGTGTATGTAAATAAAACAGTATGATAAAAACAAACATTATAGAGGCAAAGTTAAAAACAATAAGGCTTAAATGGCAATTTGATATTATAGTATTATTAATTTTAAAAAAATGAGTAGTGACATGTGCTCTCACTTTTTTATGCCTTTCTATCCTGGCACTTAATTAGAATTAGTGTTTATTTGTTTTAAAGTAAATTAGAATTGATTTTAAACTATTTAACACAATTGAAATGCATGACCAAATAATTCTTAATCTTTTAAGTCCAATATAACTTCTCTTTGTGAAGAATTAAAAAAAATGTATCAAGTAGATCTTCATAGAATGTGTGTAGAGAACATTCATTTCAATTATGACTTGGGTCTACCTAATTAATATTATAGCAACTTGAAGAGAATCTAGATCAAAATAATCACTGGAGGCAACTTTATTGAAGCTAATTTTTCTGGGTTTCATTTTTCCCTTATTCTTTTCTCTGCTGTACTAAATAAATAAATAAAAACGATAATCATCAGGCCATCAACCAGTAAAATAAAATACAACCCATGAAAACAGTGGCAGAGGCTTTTAGAAAGGCTGCAATGCAAGCAAAAAACAAATTGAGTGCATGGAACTACTATTAAATAGTGTATGAAAGGACAAACAGGCACTGCCATCTATAAAACAAAAGACTCAAAAACAAACATTTCAATGAGTTGATAGCGAAAGGAGTGTCATGCTACTGTACAATTTTTCGTTTAATGTCAGCAGCATGTGACAGCAGGTGAACCCCCCCTTCTTTCTTCTCCCCACCTCACATGTGGACCTTGCACTCCACATTACCAGACAAACTGCATTGGTTACCATTTGCAATTTTTCACATCAAAGAACTGTATATGTTTATTGCAAGAAAGATACATTTTTTTTAATATTATTATTATTAGTCTAAAATGGCTTAAAATAAATTGCAACTTATATGTTGCAATGTTATCAATAAAGAAACATATTGCATAGTCATGGTCACACAATAAAACCAGTAGAAATAATAGCAATTAAATGGTAGGCGAAAAGTTTTATATATTACACTAAAGTAAAACAACAGCAATTTGTTCTGCCTTACCTTAGTCTGGTGAAACATACATACCTAAGATAATTTTATGTAAAGGGAATGAAAGAAAAAGAAGAAAGGAAAAACTACTTATAAACTAATGTCTGTCCAAGTATGCAATATGTATCGCTTGTTGTTAGTAGTATGTATTGATATTGATGATGGTGGTGGTGACCTCATTTGATTCTTCTCTAGGATCTACTCTTCTGATCTAGGTGTATTTGGCTATACATCTAGAAGATTCTTCTATATGCTTCTATAAATCTGCAAAGAAACAAACCATCAACAAAAGAAAAATCATGAACGAGGCACTAATGTACCATGCCATAAGAAAATTCTGAGATGATTTTTACTAGTAAAGAACTAACCATTTTTATGAAAAAGGAGAGACAGAGAGAAGAGGAAAACAAAAGCTTACCCTAATAAAAATTATCCCCATCTGGCCACTTCTATTCTTATTACCTACAATTCCAATTCTTGATGCACAGAATGGAACCAAACAAATGCATATCAACTTATCAGTAGAATTCTATATACATTCAGTATGGAAGAGCAACATAACAGATTAAAATCAGCAGTACCTTGAATTGTACAGAAAATTAATCACTAGAAGTGGTTGCCGGTTCTGGCTTGATATGAGAAGATGAACTAGCTGAAAATGCAGTACTCTCATTGGCTTCTGCCAGCGTAGAGAAGTCAGTCAGATAATCTCCAGCTCCTTTTGTTGGTGAAGCAAAGAGACTATCAGGAAGGGCCGGCTCCACACTTCTCCACAGCCAAGAAAGAATGATAAAAGAATACAATATCAGAAAAATGAAATGCACATATCCGTAAGGAGGGAAAATTAAAACAAGTATGCTGCACCAAAGTGCAAGAAGTATGATCTGAAACAAAGTCAAGACCATACCTGTTACTACGGTTTATGCCTTCTGTTTTTCCACTATCCTTAATATTCCCCATCTCAGAATCATCAATGCTAGCTGGATCAACTTCTTTATGAGGCTGCTGCTGCTCAGATGCAACACCAAAAGAATTGGTAGAAGTGAAGCTGCCACTGTGCCCTGCTATAAAAGCAACAATAATGTAAATTGTCAAACCCTGTTTGCTACAATTATACCATAGGCTACCATTGATTAACTAACCAGCAATATCTCCTTTAATGCTGTCAGAAGAAAGACCAGCATCGTTGATATGACTATGAAGTTGTTGGGGCAAGACCAAAGGAGAACCAACAGAGAGACTGCGTTGGTGATGGTGAATGGGACTATTCTTTAAGTCTGGAAGCTGCAGATTCTTCAGCCGCCTTTCTTGAAGTTCAAGGACTTGCAGCAATTCAGCCTGCTCCTCAAATTTTCTTCTCAATAAGATATCATGTGGATTATATAACATCCTTCCTCCTGCAAAAAACAAATCTGGTGAGAACAAAATGGAAACAGCAAGAGAGACCCCTTAACAAGTATCTGTATGCACATAAAATTTTCTGTTAAGTTTGGGGACTACAAAGGAATCAGCACATGCATATCAACTTATTAAGTACATGCCCTCTCTAGAAATCGAGAAGAATAAAATTGTAAACATGAGAAATTCAATTACCAAGATTGAAATCATAAGGTTCTTTAGAGCCAAACCCAGAGGGGCTTAAGCATGGTGAAAAGTCTCCCCTCTCTAATTGTTGTTGTTGATGCTGTTGTCTCCTGGATAAATTAATCATAACAATATTAGTTTAGGAATAGTAAGATATAAACCCATTAAAAATATGATGCCCACTTACTTGTCAGGGATTTTTCCCTTCTCCTTGTAGGGCTTGACAAGTACACGTGAGTCACAGATAAAATGAGGATTCCCTTTGGATAATATGAGTCTGACTGTCTCTGGATAGACAAAGGTAACGAACCCAAACATTCGCTTTTGCTGATAAGGAATTCTCACATCTTGTACAGGTCCAAATTTACTACAACAGAACAAAAGTAGATATTCAATGAAATCCTTCAATTTGAATTTGTATGTATGTGTGCGTCATTGTGTAAAGACATGATAGAACATTCAGATACAGGGACACTACTGTGTAATAAGTAAATATCAAGTTACAGGGCAAGATAAGGTCAATTAGAGATCACAATTCCAACCATTGCTAAAAATTAGCTCCCATCTGATAACATGTACAACACATGCCAAAAAGTCCATAGTCCGTACCATCACAGAGACACATGCTCTTGGTTAATAGAAAAATATACCACTGTTTTCAAACTGTAAGCTTTGAGAACACAAATCCTGTGGCTCAGTTTCAAACCCTATAAGCCCAAATATACCTCCATCCATCTTCTCTATCATTTATGAACTATCTTTCAACGGAAAAAAATCCAGATTAAATCCCACCTTTGCTTCCAAATGGTTGTTTAGAAGACCATGAGATGGTGTGCATCATCAGGTGGATATTATTCACAGAATCATAATAATGCAATTGTATAACTGTAGATCATGATTATAAACGTTTATATCAATGCCATGTTTATGAAAAGCACTTCTCAAGCTTTCTTTCAAAACCATCATTAGAATAAACCCTTAATAAAACAGGAGTTACTGTATGCATAGTTTCTTATTCTCAACATAAATTACACCAACCAAAGATGTAGATTTATAGTTTCAAGAAACCATACTAATTAGCATCAAGCATGTTCAAAATTCTTTCATTTAGATATAGATTGGACATTGATGTAAATTTTTCCTTTTATAAACCAGTAGTCATTGCTAAGCTGAAAAGACTGCTAAACAATGTCGATTGGGACACGCACATGGTGCCATAAGCTGTGAATATCACTATTTTCCCAGCTTCTTAATACGAGAATTAAGTAAGTAATTTTATTTTTAAGGAAAGAACACACTGAAGTGATACCTGTAAACGTACGGTCTCCTAATGGGAGACATAAATCATGCTCTGCAAAGTTTACTGCCTATTAAAAAAGAGACAAACCCTAAATATTACACACAAAAAATTTGACTTCAAAGCAAAATTCTAAATGCAGTAACATCATGACCAATGATTACTGAGTTTAAATTTGGTACTCTAGGTTGCTGAAGATCCAGTAAGAGACTCTTCAATCAACCAAGCTCAAATCAATTGAGGATGACAAATGGCACGAACATTACTCAAACAGAGGCAATAAAAAATTAATCTCTGATGGGGCTTCCAACATAAATCACACCAAGGAGCACAAGTAAAAACATTTAAGGCGAGCACAGTGAAAATAGTAAAAAATTACCACAATTTTTCACTTTTATGAACAGCATCTGGAATAATTAATTAATGGCAACAATTGAGAACTGATTTCCACAGTTTCTGCTTAACATATGCGCCAATAACCTATCCATAACAATGTTTTATAATTGCACAATTTTCAATGCCGCCGCACGAGTGCATTTGCTAACAGCATATTTTACCTGAAGTACTCCGAAACATCTTCATCTTTGAATGTACTTTCAGCTGGAAACGTTAAATAAATCTGTCGCGAAGCAGAGTTGGGTTTTTCTCCGGAAATTGCGGCTAGAAAATCATTTCTTTCTGGCCTGTTCCGGCCAAAGTTGTAAAATTCCTCCCCCATCATGAATGCTGCTGCTGCAGCCGCTCTGCAAAACAACCAAAGAATGTATAATAACAAAACATCACTTTACAATCAGAAAGATAAAATAAAACAAAGGTTTCCAATAAACCTTTGGGACTCCTGCATCAAAACATCAAAGTACTTGTCGTACGAGGATGGTGAAGGTCCAGACATCATTCTTTGATGCTGTGCAGCCTTAAACCTCGCAAAATCGTCACGCTGTTCCATCCCCTCAAACTTACTAGGGGAACCAACAATGGTATCCAGTGAATCATTCAAACCACTATGGACAAACTTGCAATTGTTACCATTTTTGCAGAAGCCCCTAGCAAAGTAAAGGCATGGCTTGTAACCAATTCCAGAACCAGCTTCCTCACACGCAAAACATGCATCACTAGCAGAATAGCTCCTCCTATGGAAATGTGCATCACCATTGTTCACAGAGTGCCAATCCTGAGCCCCAGGAGGCAGTTCAACACGTGGATCGACCAAATCTTCGTTCTTAGAGGAATCATTGAGAAAGGGAAAGTACTCATTCACTTGGTTCTCATCAACAAAGTCACAATCACGAGGTGAAAAGGAAGAAGCAGCTCTTATGTTGTCATAAGAGAGTAAAGGACTCGACTTTGGACTAATGGGGTTGTTATTTGGGTACCCAGAAAATGGCCACGCAGGAGAAGAAGGTGAAGATGGGTTCCTAGTGAAGTCAAAGCCATTGGTTGCTGCACCTCTTGGCGAAGATTTTGAAAAGGGGTTGGTGGAGGTGCTTGTGAGTCTTGCAATGGGGTTAAGAGGAGATGGAGAAGGAGAAGGAGAAGAAGGGGTGGAGAGTGTGAGACCCAAATGGGTCTTAACCCTTAGAATGAGAGTGTGAAGCACAGGGTCTGGACTACATGCCAAGCGTATCAGTTCTGAGTCTTCGAGGTTCATAAGAAGGTAACCCATGATTTTTGAGGCATTTTCAGGGTCAAAGTTTTTAATTTTAGAGAGAACCACATTGGTGGCTTCGTAAGAACCCATAAAAAATGAAATCTTTATGTTGTTTTCTGAGACTGCAGAAAGAAAAAGAGGAAGTGATGTTGGTGATGGTGAAGCTGAAGATGAAAATGAAGATGTCTGTTACCACATACCTTAGCAGTAGCAGTAGGTTTTGGAGTTTAAGCATACGTTGAACAAACACACTCTCACTCTCACTCTCTCACTCTCTCTCTCTGTAATCTCTCTCCTATCTTTGGAGGGTGAGAGCGGTAGATTTCTCAGATCCACAACAACGACGGATAATCGTCAACACAACACATAAGTTACACACACTAGTATAATACTAAATGCTTTGGGCTTTCTTTTTCTTCTCTTTTTTTTTCTGACAAAAATTCTTTCACTCCACTATTTCATTCTATTTATTTAAAAGGTTGCTTCCTTTAATAAAAATGTGTATAGAATGTTTTGCAAAATATGGAAATGTATTTTAAATCATTTTATGGATACTTAATCACTTTAAATGTGCATACTTTTTCTTTTTCTTTTTTGTTCTTTATGTGCATGCTTTTTTCTGAACAATAAAAAAGGGAGAAAATAGAGAAATTTATAATTTGACAATAATTTAATTAACTTAAATGCCTGCTAATTTAGTTTAATTTAGAAAGCTAACAATATTTGTTATCAATTTTCTAAGAAAATTTTGAAAAATAAGTTATTATCTATTAAAAACAATTTACCAGCACAAACTAAAATATTTTACTATTCCTTTCAAAGTTTTTGGCCTTTAAAATAATGACTATTTTTTAAATTGACTTAATCTGATCTAAGAAGATAACTAAGATATTAAGAAAAAGGTAAAACAAATTACCGAGTTATAAAGATTTTCTGTTTTATGAGTCAAACAATTATTTTTAAAATTTCATCATATTCAATTCTTAATATTTTTTAAAATTCACATCTTAAGATAACCTTTCTCGGCGATGAACAATATGATTAGGCGTCACAGCAAATAACATTGCAACTTTAGAACCTTTTTTTTCTTTTTAAAACAATACAGATCAATTATTAAATATCGAAGCTATGCTTTATACCCCCAATTTTGTTATGATTTAGTCATGATTTGAACGTGTTTTTACATAGAAAGTTAAAAACTACTACTCGTCAATTCTACCATTCTTAAACATGCTATCGTACTAGATTTTAAAAATGTTACTTTTAATGTTATAAAAAAATTGATAATTTAACTGTTAATTTTTTATAGGAAGATAGCAATAATGGTATATATCAAAACCTTTTAATTTGAATGTATCTTATCTAAATTAAGATGCTATTAACTTATATATTATTTGTTTATTGAAATTAATTTCTCTTAAATGCAAACATTTAACTTTTAATCATTGATAATATTAGAGAAAAAGATATAGACACACATTTCCTTCATTTGTGATTAAAAATTAAACGTCTAAATTTAATATAATTTAAAAAAAATTGCTTAAACAAAAATAACAAAAATATTTATGTAAAATTTGCTTAAGTGAATTTTCAATTTGTTTAAATAAAATTTGCATCTTTACCCTTAACTTTTTGTTTTCTATGCATAACATTCTTTTTCCAACTTTCATATACAAGCCTTCTTCTTCTCTTAAATTTAACTATTCTCTTCTTTTTCCAACTATATTCCCTTCCCTCTGTTCTTCTTCTTCCTACCCCCATATCTACTTCTCCTTTTCTTCTTATACCTAAATCCTCCACTCTTTTCTCTTTACCTTTAGACTACTTGCTCTCTCCATCTACACTTATCTCTAACTTCTTCTTTTTCTTAAACTTTATTTAAAAGTTTGGAGGAAAAAAGAGGAAATGAGTTTGAAGGAGAGGAAAAAGGAGGAGATAGGAGGTTAAACCTCCATTTTATTTAAATGTTTAATATTGAAAAGGAAGAATAATAGAAAATTTAATTATATAAAAAAATAAATATTTTTCTTCCTCTAATGTTATAAAAAAATTAATTTAACTATTAATTTTTATATGAAGATATTAATACATTTCCTTTATTTATGATAAAAATTGAGTCTAAATTTATTTTCAACTTAAGAAAAAAATCACTTAAAAAAATACAGAAAATAACAAAAAAAAATTGTTAAGTAAATTTTAAATTTGTTTAAATGAATTTTACATTTTTATCCTTAACCTTTGACCTTTTGTTTTCCCTACGTAACACTCTCTCTTCAACTATCATATCTAAGTCTTCTTTTCTCCCTAAACTCAACTTCTCTCTTCTTCTCCTAACTCTATTCCCTCCCCTCCCCTCTTCTTCTCCCTACTCTCGTATCTACTTTTTCTTTTCTTCTCTTCTTATATCCAAATGCTCTCACCATCTACATTCATTTTCAACCTCCTCTTTCCCTTAAACTTTATTTGGGAGTTCGAAAGGAGAGAGAGAGAATGAGTTTAAAGGAGAAAAGGAGGGACTTAAAAAGGAGGAAGTAGGAGGCTAAATTCTTCTCTTATTTGAATGTTTAATATTGAAAAGAAAGAATGATGAAAAGTTTAATTATATAAAAAAAATATTTTTTTCTTCTAAAAATTAATAATTTTAAAATTAATATTTTTACTTTTTATAATTTTTTAAAAATTCTCATTTGAAAATATAACATTTAAAAAAGAGAGTTAAAATCCAGTTGTGAAAGAACAGGATAGAGTGGAAGAGAGAACATCTAAAATGAAAAAATTCAAAAAACTAAAAAAACTTCTAAACTCTTCATCTCTTAATTAAGTAACTTGGGTTAACCCTTCCTAACGCCACCCTTCACCGTCCCTCCCTTCCTAAACACAATTTTAAAATATAGCCTTTCATTCACCCTCTCTCTTAACGAGAAATAAGCAAAATTTTTGCAAAACTAGACCTTCCCATTTGATTTAAAGATGTCACATTCAAAAAAACATAAGAAGACAAAAAAAAATATATGCAGTAAAAATCTAGATAGCTAAAACTTGAGTTATTGCTCCACCTTAACAATTTGATTTAAATATGTCACATTCAAAAATAAATTTTGATTTAAAGATGTCACATTTAAAAATAAATAAATAAAAGGAGACAAAAATAAGATCAAATTACTTCAGTGCAACTTTAACAAACCACATATTTAATAATTATTTATTAAGAGAAAAATTTATTAGTTCTACCATTTAATTTAAACATTTCATAATTTTTATTAAATTTACACATGTTTAAAAAATTAGTATTCCATCACCTTACTTTATTTTAATTTAGAAGATATTATTTAAAATAAAAATAAACATTACTATCTGATTATGTATTTTCAAAAGTTTAAATTATATAAATGTTATGTATAATCGCCATGATAAATTACGTAATTTAACAATTATATTGATAAAATATACTTGTAGTGAACTTATTTGACATGTCATTTAATATGACTTTTTATTTTATTGCTATTATTATTATTTTTATTGTTATTATTGTTCAGACATTATTTGCTCTTCGACTAATATATCCTCAAAAGCATTAATATAATACTTATTTGCCAAAACAGTAAAACCCTCCCGTTCTCCCAACCTTTTTTTCAACACGCAAGATTTGATCCTTTCTTTAAAAGTGCTACATTGTTTGCCCTTTCTTAAGGCTAAGCAAGAAAAGAAAATGTTGTGTCGGAAAAGTAAAAAGGATAATCCTAATACTACGCGTGAAACTCTCCCGAACTTTAACTTGGCATAGTGAATTGGTTTTATTGAATACATGGATATGCTGAAGGCCATGATAAAGTGTATGATGAATCGTAATCTTTTGATTCATATTGAGAATTCGTATCGTCAAGCTTTTCCCTGCTAATAATCGTGTTATATACAGATTTGCCGGAAAACTATTTAGCAAACTTTTTTCCCTAAAACAAAATTCACCCAAAGAAAAATCTTTTTAGAAAAGCTAGAGTTCCTAAGTCTAGCAATTTTTTTAAGAAACTTGTTCTTCAATTAGTTTAATTTAATTAATAAATACCTTTAAGGAGTTAACAAGTGCACAAAACGAATCATTGAATAATAGGTTCAATTAGATGTAGGTACCATCACACGCTAAGTTACAAACTAGACGACAAAAATCCACCAAAGCCACCAAACAGAAAGGTTGGTGTTACAATTCGCATTTAACTTTATTAAGCCTTTACACGTCACAACTACATTAGCCAAGTAAATGCACGGACAGTTAAATAAGGAAGATGCGAGAAAAAACAGTGCATACATTGGAAGGAAAAAGAAACATGAAGCCACACTTGAATATGTAACACAAACAAGTTGCAATCGAAAGACGATCCTACGTTCATCATAATATCATTACATGTAAGAAAAAGCATGACCATAGCACCATACAGCATAATAAACTAAGCTAAAAATTAATATCATTCAAGTACAAAGCAAAGGATGTATAAGACAAGAATCGTCAGCATCCAATGTGTATGACGGGAGTACAAGCATCGGAAAAATCCTCCACAGCTATAGTAATGAAAACCAAGCCGCTCATTTAAGGGTCCACACAATGAAACAGTCATTTACTCAATACATACCATGTCAATATCTCCTACGCGGGCTCCTGGAGCGCCGTTCACGAGGTGGTCTGCAAAATGTTGGAAGTTACAAACATTCATATGCTAAAAGTTAGTGATGTGGTCAAGGCGTAAGGGCAAGAAACTTAGCATCTGCTATAAACACAGCTGAAAGGGGGAAGCCTATAATAAACAACTAAAAAATGGAATACTAATCGTTTTTCACCCACTTATAGTCCAGGAAAATACCCTTACTTTCATTTTCTAATCCATTTACCAAGGAGAAGATCATATAATATCCATTATAATTTCCGTTAAGATATTTTGCCTCACAAACTTTTCAAGACGGGAGTTTACACTGGCTACAGGAAAAATTTTCACAATGGGAATTACCAACCCAAACAAATGAAGTAAAACTCAGACCAATACTGCATCTGGATGCAATGTTAATGTTGAAAATAACAAATTACCTAGCATTAAACATGTAGAGACATACCTAGCATTCTTTCTTCTGAGTGACTCATTAATAGGTCCACTACTGAAAGCCCAGTCAACATAAATGGTTTGTGTAAGAAGCTCAGATCCATTCAAATTCTCTATTGCATTCCGAGCTTCCTCAGCGCGTTCGTATTCAATCAGTGCATAACCCTAAAATCAAAATAATAGTCCAGAAACCAAAATTTTTATGTGGTGGAATTACATATAGAAAAATGAGAGTTACAGGAAGAAGGAAAGCATTATTCCACTTCCGAATTGATTATCAAACATTAAAAAATGCTGCATGCATATAGAAGCACAGATGGTAGAAAACACTGCTAGACAGGAAGAAACACTGCTTACAAATAATCCACAAAAAGAGACTTATCTTTCTTAATAAAAATGAGTTGACAGAAGAGGCAGAGGCAAAACAGAGGATAAGAAAATCATAACAGTAAAGAAACAACAATAACCTTTACATAGGAAGAATTGTATCGTTCTTCCTTTACATTACTTAAAATCATGACAGTATTAATTTTATATTTACAGCACCATCAATTCAACTTTTTTTAAATGAAGCGCAACCAAATCCATTTCTATCAATGAAAAACAGATTATCAACCATTTATTCCCTTATCGTATCAGTTTCAGGTCAATCATTGAACATCCACAGTGAAGCAAAATTCATGACAGGAGTCATGACAAGCAAAAATAAGTCCAACTAGAAGTAAAATCACAGCATCAGAAGTCCATTCATTAAAATGGATCAGCAGCACAAGACATTGACAGCCCAACGCCAGATACAAAACAAGAATTATGTATATCAAACATTTATCACTTAGCACTTGCGTTAAAACCATAAATTCATTTTGTCACGACATGAAATTAAATTTTTAAAGAAAAGCAGTGCCACTTGAAAAAGAGGGCCACGGATTTAAGCCGAATTACAATTACACGCATTACATTAATAATATTTCCTCCATAATTAAGTCCTACTTCAAAAGTTTCTTATTATCAGAGTATTATGACTACGCAGTCTCCAATGAAGTCGTGTAGCTCAATAAATCATCTGCAACTACGATGAAATCGAAAATCATAAAACAGATATATCATTTATGACTTACCTTGACAAAACCAGTGCGGCGATCGAGATTCAAATGCAGGTTCTTAATCTCTCCGTATTCCCCGAACGTGTTTTGCAAATCGTCCTCCTGCGCTTCCTCATGCACGCCGGTGACCAAAACGATCCATCCTTCAATGGCTGGAGCAGAGGCAAACAAATCGAAATCATTACAAAAAAGAGCAAAACCCTAACCCTAACCCTAACCCTAAATGTCACGTGCAAAAAGGGAGTACTAACATCGTTGAGGACCGGGACCACCCTCGGTGGTGAGAGAGTCGAAATCGGAGCCGGAGAGGCGGTTGTTACGGTTTGCGTCGGATTCCTGACGGAAACCGCGACCCTTGGTCTTTTTGGGAGCGGTGAGAGAAGAAGAGGCGGCGGCGGCGGCGGTGATGGCGGATTTGAGTTTGGGGTGAGGTGGAGAAGCGTCGGCGTCGGGAGCGCCGTCCTCGTCCATCAAGTCATCGTCCTCAGGCTCGAAATCCAACGCTTCTCCGTCGGCTGCACTTCCCTGCATCTTTGCTTCTGTAACCCAACGTTCTATTTCTTCGCTCACTGTCTTTACCCTTTTTATGTTCAGATTTTATCCCTTGCAATGCAAAATTATCCTTCGGGGCTTATCTAGGGCACAACAGGTTTTTTACCTTTTCCCCCCCTTTTATAAGTATTTCATTAAATTATCTAAAAATCTTAAATATAAATTTATCAAATTATAAATGTATTAAATATTAATAAATAACATATAAAATTAAATTAATAATATTATATATATATATATATATATGACAAAATCTTCTTATAATATAAATATAAAAACTTTTACACTTAATTTAAGATTTTTATTTAATTTAAATTTAACATATTATAATTTATTATTTTATTAATTATTAAATTTAAATTAAATTAAATATTTAAATTATAATATTTAAATAAAATATTTATATTGCTACTAAAGTATTGTAATATTTATATAAAATATTTATCCTAACACTCATTTTTTACTTTTAAAATAACTTCAAATTTATACTCATACAGTCATACATGTAAATTTAAGAACTTTATCTTATATGTCTGCACTTTTATCTAATATCTTCGTTACAATTGAGTTAAATATATTTTTAAAAATGTACTTTCCTCTCCTTTTGACAATTTAGTAAATAAAAATAAATAAATATAAAAATTACAAAAAGTTAACAAGATAAACGACATTAATTTAGAAAATAAACAATCGATTTATTTTTAAAAAAATCACATTTTAATTAAAATTATATTAAACAGAACAGTTCAACTAAATTTAAATCAAACATAATAAAATATAATACTTTCCTACGGTGAATAATAAACACAAGTTTAACTAATATCAATTTTCAGTGATGATTTTAAATATATAAAAATAATAAATTTTTATTAAATAAAAAAAGTATCACACAGTTATAATTTTAATGTCAAAAATATATTTTTAAATAAAAATTAAATATTTTTAGATGTTTAAACTTAAACTTAATCTTAAATAAAATTATGAAATTGTGTACAAACGTTGAGTTTTATTATAATTATTTTCTCAAAACATACTAACAATATTAACTGTATTACTTTTCAATAATTTTTTATTCAATCATGGCGTTGGCAATATATATAATAAAGCCACCAACCACTTGCAAATTAAAATATTAATGCGTGCAATTTCAGAAAAAGAAAAGAAAAATAAAAATGGGTATGAACTTTATCTTATCAGACTCAATTATCATCAAAACTCTCAACAATTCACTGTGTTGTCTTCTCTTATCTTTGATATGAATACTCTTTCTTCCTTCGCGTCGACGCTCCATGGTGGGTGCGTTCCCTTTCCCCGTTCAGCGTCGCCGTTGACATCTGTGAAATCTTCAGCTTTCTCCAAATGTCATCGCATTTGGGTCACCAAAGCTTCCATTGCCGTTGAGCAACAAACTAAGGTTGCTCTCATCAGAATTGGCACCAGAGGAAGGTATTCTTTTTCCTCATTTCTACTTCTGGGTTTTCTCATGTTGCCTATGTCTTGTCTTATTCTCATATAAATTTCTCATTTTTACCTTTTATTGGGAAGCTAAAGGAGGGAGTTTCTTAAATTTTTGACGTGTAAACGTTGGTTTTAATTCATGAGAGAATTTTGACTCATTTTGACTCTTTGATTCATTTTATTTTATTTTTCTTATAAGTTGATGCTGGAAGTTTATCTAAATTAGGCTCTGTGATAATAGTATCGCAAGGGCATTTAACAATAGATATTATTAGAGATCTTTGAACACTTCATTCTTTTAAAGGGAAATCCTTTAAAAGAATTGACTTGAATTGGCTTTTAAACTCAGAGATACTGAGCCTGGAACTAATTATCTGAGAGGAAAAAAAGAAAAAGAAAAAACAATCTGTCCATTATTTGTTTCTCAATTTCAAACTTTGAAGATATTTAGGCTAGAAAGAAGTAATTATTAGGAAAAACTAAAGGAAAAAAAGAAATACAATCTGTTTTATCTCCTGCAATGCAATTTTGTAATTGTTTTGACAAATTGTAACTGGCTAGATGGTTATCCATACTTTCAATCTTGGTTTGGTGACATATTCCCACCTTCCAAATTGGGTTACTTTTATCTGTTTTTGATGTGTAGAGCAGTCCACTAGCTCTAGCACAGGCATATGAGACCAGGGACAAACTCATGGCATCCCACCCAGAGCTAGCTGAAGAGGGGGCTATTCAGATTGTGATAATAAAAACAACTGGTGACAAAATCCTCACTCAACCACTTGCAGACATAGGTGGAAAGGGCTTGTTCACCAAAGAAATAGACGAAGCACTTTTAAACAGTGAAATTGACATTGCTGTCCATTCAATGAAGGATGTTCCTACTTACTTACCTGATAAAACAATTCTTCCGTGCAACCTTCCGCGAGAGGATGTCAGAGATGCATTTATATCCTTGAGTGCAACTTCACTAGCTGATCTTCCCACTGGGAGTGTTGTTGGTACTGCTTCTCTAAGACGGAAGTCACAGATACTCCACAGATATCCATCTCTAAATGTAAGCTTGTGTTAATTTTTACTCATTGTTATCCTGACAGCCTGAAATTGCAAATTATTGTTTCCTATACTTGTTTTAATAAATTAGCTCTTGCAGATGACTTAAATGGAAATCCTCTATGTAAGATTTCAAAATTTTCTTTTCTGATTGCTTGATGTTATCAAAGTTGTAATTATATATGTTGTACGTATAATGTAAAAAATAGAAAATTGTGGTTAATGAAAAGTAATTTGGAGTTTCTATCTTTATTCTCAAAATAAAATAGAAAAGTAAATTGACAGACATTTATGGGGATGTAGAGTTATGGTTAATGAGTAGTCATTTGATGTTTCAACCTCTACTGGACCTTTTTTATTTTTTTGGGTATGAATATTGTTGTCTTTCTTGAAGCATTTACTTTTTCAGTCCATGTTATTTAATTGTTCTTGAATTACTTCATTGGTGAAATATTAAATTTCTGGATCACTGATAAAATTGTTCTTGAATTTATTTCTCAGGTGCAGGAAAATTTCCGTGGCAATGTCCAAACAAGGTTGAGAAAACTCAATGAAGGGGTTGTTCAAGCTACACTATTAGCATTAGCTGGACTAAAACGCTTAAACATGACAGAAAATGTGACATCAATCCTATCAATTGATGATATGCTTCCAGCTGTAGCCCAAGGTGCCATTGGAATAGCCTGTAGAAGCAATGATGATAAAATGGTGAGTGATTAGATATAGAACACTATCTTGTCAGACTTGGGTTTTTTTTTTTTTGTAGAGGAGGTTAATCATGCCATGTAAGATCATGCATGTGTGTGTGCATCATTATATACCTAATTGCAAGATTCCTCCTCAACCATAAAAGAAGATTGATTTATATTAGGAATCTGAACCATTTCAACTTAATTAGAGAATATTACTTTGCATCATAGGGTCTTAATCATTTTAGATTCTCATATTTGCAACTTTTTGGTTGAGTGTTTTCTGCAGGCAGAATACCTTGCTTCACTGAATCATGAAGAAACAAGACTGGCAGTTGTCTGCGAAAGGGCCTTCCTTGAGACTTTGGATGGATCTTGCCGCACTCCAATTGCAGGGTATGCTTGCAGAAATGAGGACGGGAATTGCTTGTTCAGAGGATTAGTTGCTTCCCCTGATGGAACCCGCGGTATGAACATCTCATGATAGATTTGTGCTATTTGACTTCGTCTCGTTTCTAATCCTTCACTAGTAACTATTCTCTAAGCTTTCCGGCAATTCCCTCTGTGCAGTGCTAGAGACATCCAGGGTTGGTCCATATGCAGTTGAAGATATGATTGAGATGGGTAAGGATGCTGGCAAGGAGCTTCTTTCTCGGGCTGGACCTAACTTCTTTAGTAGCTAGCAGCAGATTGAAGTGCAATGCTTCCCACATTAGTTCATTCTTTGACCTGCTGTAACTTCAGAGTAGATCAAATGTACAATTGAGTTTGGGAAAGTGGACCTCTCATTATGGTCAAACTGTTGTATTCTGAGGATATTAGAATGCCAATTTTTTAGGTAGTTTGTTGAGAGTTCATGCTAAAAACACCTGGGTGTTTCCCAAATTTTCTTATATTTATGTTACCTTATTATTATTGCATGAGTAATATTTACATCCCCCTTTTAAAATGGTTAATACAAAGTGAATATATTTTCTGAGCACATCCCCAAAAGAAAAATCCTACGTTTTGACTATGACTTGAATTACTTACTCCTTACTTTCGTGGGATATTGTGGAAGCATGTTTTGTTTTTGAAGAGAGGAAACGGTGCGATTGACAACAGTGATAGGTGGTAACGGGGGTCGGGGTTGGGGTCGTGGCGGTGAAAACTGCAAATATAAGGTGATGCCTGTCTCTAGCATTGTTAGAATGTTGAAATTGGAAACCTTATTATGACGAACGCCTAATCGGTAAATATTGTTTTTAAAGAAATTTCGATATTAAAAAATTTACTTAATCTAAAATTTCGTTTTGCCCCAAGCTATGATTTTTGACTTGGGCTGAAATCGGAAACTAGTCCCTTTTTTTTTTTTTTTTAATAAATTAGGCACTAGTTCTAGACATAAACAATGCACTTGTTAACTGTGATTGGGCTGATCTGCTTTTCAGCGCAAAACGAGAGTCATCCATCTCCATGAAATCGAGATTCTTTTTGCTATTGCTATTCATTCACGTAGATGGAGCTTTTTTATTCAAAGCAACTAAACTCTGATCATGGCGTTTGGGTATTTGGATACGTGATTACAAATTTGATTTTTAATGATCCTTGATTTTATAAAATTGATCTTAGTTACCATTGAGTTTTAAGTGAAATGATTTGTTTAAAAACTTATCTTTTAAAGTAAGTTTGTGATCACTTGTTCAACGCATTCTGATCAAATGTCAGTTTAATCAAATTTGACTACAAAAGTCATGGGAGACCTTTTTATCTCAGTATGAAGAGTTTTTGTCATAGAAAAGTCAACTAGACTCGTTCGTTAACAATAAAATGTTTACAACGTCCTATCTTTTACATCAAGGAGGAAACAAAATATCAGTACAGACTAGCATTGCAAACAACTTACACAAGGTCAGTGGTAATAGGTCAACTGACAACTCATTTAATGGTTTAATTTTCAGCATTGGAAGGTAGTTTTTTTTTCCTCTTGTGTTTGGGCTTGACAGCATCCTTCAGAGTCTTACCTTCATTACTTTGATCAGTTGTTAGAGCTTTGTCAATTGGTGAAGAATCTATATTAATTTTCTGTGGTGGTTCCTCGGGCTTTGTCCCAGGTATTGAATCCTTTCGTTTACTAGGAGTTGCCAGTCCTGCTTATTTTACAAAAATTACAATGAGTGAGATTGTGTAGTTTTATTTCCTCATTAGACCACATTCACGAGTTTGAAGTCAATATTATAGACACCAACTTATCATTCAAAATTGATAATGAAATCTACAAAGAAAGTCTAAATAAAAGCAACAATGAAATCAACAGGAGAAAATTATGCATACATAAACAAAAAGCCATTGGTTTAATCAAAAGCCACAACAGCTAATTTCAAAATTTAAGATAAAAGAGAAGCTATTACCGCGCGTTGCTAGAGAAGCTTTAAGAAGATCTGAATTGACACACTCTGAGTAGGGATCCCTGAGGAAGTAATCGAACAATGACGGCAAGATATAAGATGTATTTTTACTAAATTTTAAAGAAAAGTAGACTTATTTTCTTCTTAATATAGACAAAAACTAGAATGGAAGGACTTCAACATGACCCGATAGCAGTAATTACTAATTTAGTTTACGTTCTATCACTCTGTTGCCTTATCCCACTAAGTTTCCAACTCATCTATCCAGCGGGTGTAATAGTCCCCAAGTCGCATAAATTTTTTTTATGTATATATATTTGCATAAATGGTCTGCAGCAATTTGTTATGCCATGCACATATGAGTAGAGTAATAAACTCTAACAGTAATAAATGGACTGGACAGGAGACAACTAAACTTTAATTAAGTTTAAAACAAAAACCAATACAAAGGAGGCTATTAGTTCTTGGACTAGCTGATCTCATACCAACTTGAGGGACCACCAATGAAATTCTTTGAGACTCCAACTCTCTTGTTACTTTGTACTTGCCCTGAATCTGATGGTGTGGCTTCACATTCCATAGAATTTACCTCATCTTTCAGCTTCAATTTGTCTAAATGACTACCATCCTTATCACCATCGTCTATTTGATCTTGTTTTTCCTCAAACCCAGAAGCAGTACTACATACATCCACGGCAACAGATGAAGAACGGCGCTTAATCTTCTGCAGTGCCCTTTCATTGTTATGTATTTCAACCTATATCAATCAATTCAGACAACAAAAATCAATTAACAAAGGATGTAAATTCCACAGGTGACTGGCATCTAGTAAAAAATAAAAGAACTCGTGTGAGATATTAGAACAGAGTTCCATGCAATGCAAAACTAGTAGAGAAACAAAACTCACAGCATCCTTAATCTTGGTAGTAATATCACCAGCTTTAACATGAGCGAGCTTCAAGCAGTGCATAACAACCCGGTGATAAATTCCCTCGCCACCAGCCTTTTGAATGGCACAAACGTCACCGTTTGCATTGACCGTAGCAGTCATGCGTCCGGTCATCACACACTCTTCATGGTGCGTAGGATCTATGACCTACACGGCATCAGAATCATATAAAAACAAAATCAGAGACACAATGCACAAACACATAACACCAAAAACCACAACAAAAATATAAGCCATACAACAAGATTTTCGTTACTGAAAAATCCAAAGGTGACAGCAATTGGAAGATGATGTATAATCAAAGGGATCGGGTCACGCTGTTCGGGAGGATGCACCACCACTTGCTGGCCATCTTCTCCAGCGAAGGAACATTCAGGCCTCCGAAACGTCAACAGAGAAGCCAATGCGGCAATGTTGGCAGCATCAACAAGGTTTCTATAATCAATGTATTATATCATATCAACGAATTAACATCAAGTAAGCAATAATTGAGTGAGAGAATGACTTGAAGTGTTACCCGCCATTGTCAAGTATATGGATATCAATGCGAAGGGCCCAAACGAGCTTGCCGGAGAGAACACATAGGGATTCGGTGTCAACGGCTCTGCTTTCACGTAAACCGCGGTCTATGACGCGCCCTAACTCGACGGCGGACTCGCCGGGTCGACCAGGTTCGAAGGAAGGGTCGGCCATGGGGGAGAACTCGGTGAAGACGGAGAGGGTGCCTTCGTTGGGCCTGTCACGGTAGGGCTGAACGAGTTGGGCTGTGACGAAGGTCATGACGTGGGTCTGTCCCAATTGCACTTCTGCGGAGCCATCGTCTTTGCCGAACTTTATTGTAAGTTTGCGGTAATCAAAGGGGCGACGACCGTCCACTCGAAGTTCCGAAAGGAGAGCCGTTTCGATGAATTTCTTGTCGTTTATGGGAAGTCGCCAAATCTGTTCCATACCTGCCGGAAGCACGGTGAGCTACGCGGCGGTGAAGACGGCGACAGCAAGGTTTTGCAGCGCTAGGGTTTAGTCCTTTCTCTTTGTAGTGACTGAGGGGAGGGGAGGATGGGTCGCACGTTCATACCCTAATTTGCATTAACTTTTTAATTAGGGAATTTTTCGTGGGAATTATTCTCACTAAGCAAGGTCTTTTTTTCACTGAGTGAGATCATCTATGTAAATCATACGGGTCATAATATGCATACTTAAATAAATGAATTTTATTAAAAATTTCAACTCCATTTCATTAAAGTCCAAGGACATGGACAGCACAAAACTGGAGCCAAGACCAGTAGAACACCATGCTTATAAATCAGAAGAAACAACCAAGTACAGAACCCTATAATGAAAATATTGTCCATTCACCGTTAGAAACACACACGAAGAAACTTTTAATGCAATTATAAACTTGATATTTGTTGAATTTCAAAACAAAACAAGGAGCAAGAATGACCCTGCTAGAAACTTAAATTTATGTAAATTATATATCTTTTCATATAATTTTTTGAGATTTATCTAACCTAAACTTACGAAAGAATTTTGAAAAAACTAAATTTTAAAATTTTAATTTTTTTAATATTATTTTTATAATTTTTTTTTTGTGTAAAGAGTTCAACTATTTGCTAATTCTTAGTCATGTGAATCATAATTTATAGTCATTGAATAAAATGGAAAATAATAGTACTTAATTACATAGTTGCTAATAGAGGAGTAGAACAAATTTACGGTAGATGAGAATAAAAGAGAATGAAAAATATGAACATATACATAAAATTTCTAATGACATATTGAAAGTAATTGTATTTCATGAATATGATATTTATAACACAGTTAGAGTATTTTTATTGATTGATCATGTTATATAAGGTCTGAGTCAAACATCTAATTGGTTCATTTTAAATTATTTAGAGGATATTTTGTATATATTCTATATAAAGAAAAGAAACAATCAAATCTATTTTTTGATTCAATAGAAGTTAAAAGAGGAGAATAAGATCTACACTAACGAGAGATATGTAAAAAGTAGGTCTGATTACGCTTATTTTTAATCCTAAATAGAATGGAACAACACAAAGATTTGTATGTAAATATAACATCTATTTAAATACTCTCAAATAACATCTTCTTATAATAAAAATGTATATAACCCTATTCTAGTCTATTCCAGTATAAAATAAATTTATAACCATGTAATCGACTCAATCATTAGATTATATATTATAAGTTTATAACCTTAACTCATTTTCATTTTGAGCATAATAGATTTACTAATTCTTTAATTTCATTTAGTAAGATAAGAGTTGAACTAAGAAATAAATTTTAAAAAGTAAAAAAAGTATATGAGTAATTTCAATAATAAGGTTTTTATTTTTTATTTTTAGCTATTTGATCTTAATAAATAATTTACAATATTTAGAAACTTTTAAAAAGATATTTTTATTTTATTTCATACAACGAATGAAAGGACGTTAAACCTACATGAGTTATTTATACATTTGAAATTCATATTTCAAATAATTTTTTATACATATACACAAATTTATCTTGTATAATAAACTACTTTAAAATGAGCTCTTTTTGTATTTAGTTGAATTTTAAAAAATAAATAAAAAATTTATTAAAATTCTGCATTCAACAATCTTTAATATTGTTTTACTTTATAAAACCTTAAAATCAATAATAAAAAATTTAAACTATGTTCAGTAAAACGAGGCAAAAACTGTGAGTTTCAAACTTCTACCCCGTAGACTTGTCAATGAAAGTTTATAGATGAATAAATAACTTAATTAAATTGTTTAATAAACTAATTTTTTAGTTAGTTGATCTATATTAAATGACTTAAAAAGACATATAATATTAAAATTACATATAACTTATTTTAATATATTTTATTAATAAAAATAATATTATGGGGTTTAAAAAATAACTTAATTTTTTTTAAAATTATTAATTTTAATATATTATATCAATAAAGATGATATGAATTGATTTAAATAATTTATTTCTCAAATTTTAAAGTATTATTTATTTAATTAATTTATTTTTGTACAACAAAATATATTATTAACTATTAGCATACTGCATTTTAATAGTGTAAATGATAAATTATTTTTTTTTAAAAATAAACGATAAGAATATAATAAAAGTACTATTAGCTTCTTCTGACGAGCTAAAAACTTTAAATAAATTTTAAAAAATTAATTTTTTTTATTTTGTATTTACTAAACTGCTCTAGTAACTTATTAACTAAGCTCCTAGATAAGTGATAAGCTATCTTCACTAAACATGGTATTAGTATTCTGAGTCTATGACATTAAAAATGGCGATTAAATAAAAGTTCAGTCAGTCTACAATTAGGGGAAGATGTAGTAAAACATGTAACTGTGTCCTTCCCTGGTACTTAATAAAAGATCATGAAGTACAAGCACAATGTCCAAGGGAAACAAAACAATTTCCACAGAAACTTCTCTGTCAATGGCAACAAGTCTTCACCAAAGCATAAAAAAATAGTTAACCATCCAATTCCATGCAACATATTTGGTTTATTGCCAAAATAGAGTTTCACTGGTGAGAAATTCTCTTAATGGCGTTTACTTTGGCTTTCCGGATTGGCCTTCTTTACACTACGGAAAACATCTTGCATTAATCGTTCATGCTCCTTCAACATGTCATCAATGTTCCCACCTGGAGGCACCAATGGTCCAGAGCAGTGGATCCTATTTCTCTTTGGCACAAAACCCTGAAACCACAATCAAATCCAAGTAACAAAAAATTAAAATACTTCTATTCATGCCAATAAATTTTTTATAACTAATAAGCAAATTAAAACACTGTTTATTATATAATATTTTATTAGCTTAAAGATATTTTTACTTCTTATATTTCTATGAAAATTTAATTTTAGACTCAATTTTTTAGTTTTAGTTCCTGATTTTTTGAAGTTAACACTTATGGTCACATCAATTCTGATATAAGATTATTCTAGTTTATGGAGAAATTTACACACGACATATGAACATAAAAGGTTGTTCTTTACCATCACGGGTTCTATAGCAGACATTCCTGGTTCCTTTTTAACTGAAGATATAGATAAATCTGCTGCTGCATGATTTAGATGAGACCTCTGTGTCCGCAACTGTGAATTCATTATTGTTGATTCTGGTTTCTTACTCAATGAGGATGGTCCTGTGGTACTATTGAACATCAATGAAGTAGAATGTTCATAGTCATTTTGTAGACTAATCCTGCTTGGCTCACCCTTGCCATGAGATCCACCATCCTCTTCGGATTGATATTTAAGACGAGACCCTTTTGTATTTGACTTGGCCTATCAATGTTAAAGTAGCCATTAGGATTGAACAAAATTGTAAATGATAATATGAACATGGATATTATTTATATTTGTACAAACATACCTGCACGAATATATCTCCCTTAGCATTATATTCTGGTGTTTCTAGTACTTTGGTATCTCCTGTTCCTCTTAAAACAGATACTGGTCCACGTCCTTTAATAGCTTCAGTATTTTTCCTGATTAAAAAAATAAAATTAGTTCTATGAGTGTAAATGATACTTCTAAGTTCTCACTATAGCATTAAATGTAAAAAGAAAATTTAAAGATAATCTTTTATGGGTTTTGTTATCATCATAGGTTGAGTTTAAGTATTTAAAAATATATTTATTAAATTAAAGTTAGAAAAGTACAATAAATACCCTTTTTTAATAAAATTTCATTATTGTTGGTTATTTAAATTCAACTCAAAAGGCTGAAGTTAACAATTTTCTTCTTTTACAGGAAAACCTTTTGGATGCAAATTACTGTTTTAACAAAAGTTTGAGCTTTAACTAAAGTATGTATCTTCATTCATATAGTTTTGGTCCTTGTTATCATGCAGAGTGATGTTTCATACATGCTTTTTATGAGAGATGTTTAGTCCTACCATGTTTCCACCAAGGAAGATGGTACTAATGACTAATGAGACAAAAATCACTAAGACAATTAAATCTACTTAAAAAGAGAGAGAAGGGTGTATATTTTGTATTTTTATTCGACATAAAAAAAACTGACAATGAGATCTTCAATAAATAGGGGAATTAAACCCATAATACCTCACAGATTCCTTTTCTCGACGCCTGGCATCAAACTCCTTGCTTGGTGGAAATTTCGGTAAACTCGATGGATCACAAGGTAAGGGGTTTGTAGTGAAGAACTGTCAAATATCCAACATGAACACCATCAGTTTGAAAAATTAGTGAAAAAATGCCTAGAAGTATATAAGAAGAAGAAAAAGGCAGTTGGGCTCTAAAAAAAAAATCAAAACTCAGAAAGAGACTTTCTAATGATAAAAACAATTCATGATAAATTTAATCACAAAAAATTGGATTTCATAAATTTCACTTAATAAAGAATGTAGACATTAGACAGAAAGATTATTTGTTCAAAATTAACTTTATTAGATTAAGTATAATGGAGGTAAACAAAGTAACTCTTTTCATTGAATCCTTAACCAGAGAAGTAACAATCGAGAACATATCACACTATAAATTTTAAGCAACTAAATTAAAAGCAATATTTGGTATGCTTGATTGAAATTGGGAAGAACCAAGTTTTGTGCAGAATTGGATATCATACCAGATAAACCAGAGTCTTGTTTTTCTCTAGATTTAAGCATCGTAATAGAATTAATTGCCATGCAAAGTATGCTTGAGAAAAATGAATAAAAGAGTGCTCAGAATTACCTCACTGTTAAGTGCGGAAGTTGCGGATCCTCGATCTTCTGGTTGTATTGCAAGAAGCTTATCAACAAGAGCTAATGCCGCAGGAGAAATTTTTTTAAATGTATCAGCAACTTTGCGGTTATAAGGTTGTTGTGGCTTAAAACTTGTTGCATGAGGAAATTTTGTTCTCTGCCAATAATCTTCAGATGGAGAACCACAAAGTTTAAAAATCTTGTGCACTTGTTCCACCTGGATATATTAAATCATTCTTAATGTAAGTTACAATTCTTTGCCCGTGCTTAGTTAATAGTAATGGAGATTGTGTGTGCAAGAAACAACAAAATGTTGTCCCTTCACATAAATAGCAATAACTCAACATAACAACTAATTTATGAAACATATTACAACAAAAATTGCCTAATTTGCAAGAATCATATTGGTTCATGAAAAGTACCTCTGTTCTTCCTGGCATGATAGGCTTGCCCACTTGCAATTCTGCTAGAATGCAACCAGCACTCCACAAGTCAATTGCAGCTCCATACTCAGTAGCACCTAGCAAAAGCTCAGGTGCCCTATACCACAGAGTCACCACACGGCTAGTTAATGGCTGCTTTTTAGAAGGATCATAAACTGTTGCAAGACCAAAATCTCCAATCTTAAGATTTCCATCTTGGTCAATCAGAAGATTTGAACCCTTGATGTCACGGTGCAACACACCCCTACTATGACAGTGTTCAAGCCCACGAAGCAATTGCTGCATGTAACATTTGATCTGCAAAGCCAACAAATCAATAATTTAATACCATATGCAGCTACATTCTACAACCCTTTCGCTAAACAAGTTGCAATTTTCTAACTTCTATAAGATTTGCCAATCTATCAATAGCCAATCAGCTATTGTATAAACTACTACATCTACATATATTTCTTAACCGCAATCTGACTAAAATATGTTAGAAAAAAGAACAACTAATTTAAAAGTTCTTTCTTATGCGTGAACATGCTTGATATGTACCTGTGGTTCAGTGAACTTCACACCATGTATTGCTGCTAACCCAGCAAGATCATGCTCCATGTATTCAAAAACAAGGTACAAACTGGTGGATGTTCTTGAAGTGACAATACCCTCAAGCTTCATGACATTAGGATGGTCAAGTTGACGCAAAATATAGATTTCCCTTGCCATGAAACGGACACTTTCAGCTTCTGTGCTCGAAAAGCGAACCTTTTTCAAAGCCACAATTTTACCAGTCTCAAGGTCGCGGGCCTTATGCACACTGCTATAAGCCCCTTGTCCAATCTGCACATAGAGCACTCACTTGAATGTGAATTAATTAAAAGCATTTTGAAATAAAAGGGGTCCCAAATAAGAAGTGATATTAGAAACTAACTTGGTCTAATTTTTCAAAAGAGTCTGCACGTCGAGGCACCCACCCTTTGATGGCTTCTGCTGCCACTGAAGATAACCATGATGGCCATGCAGCATCAACATGTTCTCCTCCAAAATGTGGCACGCTAAGTATTCTACTCATTAGTGGCTTTCTTTCACCTACACAAGATCTCATTGTCATGCATTTCTTGTGCTGGCTTTTTGTGGTGGCATCTAAATGGTTGCTTTTGTCCTCTGATGGCACTTGGTTAGACGCCCTAATTACTTGTGAGCATGCCTTAGTCAAACGGGGCACTGAACCCTTAATGCTACCACCATCGAACTCAGCAGTTGACACAATAGGAGCAACCAATTGTGCTGAAGACTTGTTCAACTCTTTTTCTTTCTCATATTCATCAACTTTGTCTTTTCTCGAGGATGATTTTGAGCATATGCACCCCATTTTCTCAAGTTTTACAAAAAGGGTGCTACTTCAATCAATCAATTAATAAATCACTGCTTTTTGTTGTGAAAGTTATTATGGTTTTGCAACTGGGTACACTTGTACCCAGAAGTTCCCACCCTTCTAATTCTTATAATCAAGTAGCCATTTACCGTGAAAACTTGTGTTGAGTGTCCATTATTGAGAACAAAGACGATCATAACACTGGAGAATCCACCTCACAAAATCAATGGTCCAATGTATGTCAATTGACTTATTTCCCACGTGAGAATCCAAAAAATGGATGTTGCAGATTCGGAAAGTAGCTTTGAAAATTCAATAATTTGTACCTCCCCAGATTGGAGAATCATATTATGAGTCAAACACAAAATGGCTGAAGATTTTGAAAATCAAGTGCTCTCTCTATAAATGAATACAATATAATTACAGAAGAGCAAACAAGGGTGGGAATCATAAACCAAAGGGTTGTTAATTCAACTGAAAGGGTATAGATGAAAAAGAATGCAAGGAAAAATGCTCAAATTCCTTGGCCTTTTTGAGGGAACATAAAGCTAAAGGTGTGACAATAATTTCCTGCAATGAACACAGGTCACAGCAACAACGTGGGAGATTTTTCTTCTTTATTTGTTCAAATCAAAGAAAAATAAGGATCCAAAAAAACGATTTTGATCGTTGTTTTGTTGTGTAACAAAGCAAATGAGGAAATTGAAGGGAAGGAGGGACATTAATGGAAAATTGTGAAAAAAAAAGGTTATTTGATTATGGGTGTAATTTTCAGAAAAATGGTTGGAGGGAAAGAAACAGAGGAGAAATTTGCGGTGTGTGCGTGAGAATTGCGAAAATCCGTGTGTTCCAGATTGACACTTATCATCTTCCCTTCCTATATTACCTATGTAATCATTCTCCATGTCATAACCATATTGCCTCGTAATAATAACAAAATTCTTACTCATCAAGCAACAAAAACTTTAATCTCATCAAAATTAATTAAATTTATTCATTTTTACCAAATTAACTCTAATTAATCAATTTTAATATTTTGGACATAAGCCACTCTTTCTTATAAAAAATCAAGTTTAATATTTATTATAAAGTATGATTATCTCCTTTTCTTACCGTATGCGCAAAAATACAACAAAACAAGAAACTCAATTTCCATTATTTATATAACTATCTCTTTTATTTAAAACAATGCCGTTTAGAAAAATCTAGAACAACCCTCTATTAGATGATGCTCGGTGGTGGTTTAATGTAAATTAATTTCACTAATTAAATTTAGTTTTTTAAGTTAATCAAATTGGTGCAAACCAATAAGAAGTCCTGAACATAGAAATTCATAGTATGTCCTTTCAATATTACCAACTTAGTTTGTTGAAAAACATTTATGCTACAGTGAAACGATGTATCAACGTGCCAAATAATTATATTCCTCTCATAAGTTAGATGTAGACAAATATTTTTAGAATATGTTTTGGAAGAGGGTTTTTGGAGGAGAAGGAAGGAGAGAGCTTATTTTTATATTTTAAATAAATATATTTAAAATTAATAATTTTTAACAATAAAAATATAAATTAATAAAATAACAAAAACTTAATGTATTAATGATATATTTGTCATCTTAAATAATATATAATTCTTTTAATATAAAATTAAAAAAAAAATCTTCTTCTCCTTTCTCCTTCAAAAATTCTCTCCCAAACATACCATGTTAATAAATGTTGCAAGAGTATAAGTTAGCAAATCAATAATATTTTTTTAAAAAAATTACAATGAAACTTTGGTGTCATTAAATAAGTGTCCTTGGTTTTGTAGAGGAGAGACGAAATTAATTATTACAACTTCAGATACAAAAGAGGCTAAGTGAAGGTGTCTATGACATGTAGATTCCATTTCACACAACATATGGAGCGAGTGTAAATGTAAACAGCAAAGATAATTGATTCAGGCTGCAGCAAAATCCAAACCAAACTTCCATTCGTCACAAAATGAGCCTTCTTCACATCCACGTGTGTTAACACCTCTTTCTTTCTATTGCATGTTCAACCAACCCAACCCACTACATGTCAAACTCTCTTCTCTCTTATCTATCACTATGCTTCTCATCCATCTTACTGTAGCTCTACTAATACCCATTTCAGCTTTTCATTGAAGCTATGGACTTTCTCAATTTTGTGCTTAACTTGTTGGTCCCTCCAGCTAGTTTGATCATGCTAGCTTTCTCATGGCCAACACTTTGTTTCCTCAATGCTTGTGAATGGCTTTATAACACTATATATGGTGAAGATATGGATAATAAAGTGGTCATAATTACTGGAGCTTCTTCAGGCATAGGAGAGGCAAGTTCTCTTATTGTTTAATTCATCTAAGTTTCCTTAATATGTTTTGTTTGCTTGGTGAAGGAAAAAATAGGAAAAACTAAAGAGCACTTATGTGTTAATATGGTTTGGTATTGCAGCAAATTGCATATGAGTATGCTTTAAGGAGAGCAAATTTAATGTTGGTGGCACGCAGAGAGCACAGGCTAAGAGGGATTGCAGAGAATGCAAGGCGAATGGGTGCAAGACATGTTATGATTATGGCAGCAGATGTTGTCAAGGAAGATGATTGTAGAAGATTTGTCACTGAAACCATCAATGCCTATGGCCGTGGTATGTTTTGTTGTGCACTTACATGGCACGCCACCTTTCACATCATCATTCAATATTCTTCATATTGCATATCAATTAATTGTCCAAATTTATATTGTTACCATTAATTTGATTGACATTTAAATAATCTTGTAACTCTTTCAACAAAGAAAATTTTGTTGGGTAAAAAACAATTAGAAAAAGGGTGGCAAAATTTACACCTTGACATTCCTTTTATTTATTTTCCCATGGTCTTGGTTTGTTTTTGTTTTTGTCTTTCGGGAGTGCAGTAGATCATCTTGTGAATACAGTGAGTTTGGGACATACATTTTGCTTTGAAGAAGTTACAGACACATCAGTTTTCCCTGTTCTCCTGGTAAGAAGTCCAATTTGCCAAATTGAAATTTCAGTTGTGATAGAACTCTAATTTGCCAACTATTTCTAATTCTTTGAAAATAAAAAGAAAAAGATTATATTATGAGATAATATGGTCTTCAAATATGTGCTTTCTCAGGATATTAATTTTTGGGGGAATGTTTATCCAACATTTGTGGCTATTCCTTATCTTCGTCAAAGCTGTGGTCGGATTATTATAAATGCATCAGTTGAAAGTTGGTTACCTTTGCCGAGGATGAGTTTATATGCTGTAAGTATGCATGCAATTAAGTTTAACATTATCTGTATGCATGCAATTAAGTTTAACATTATCTGTCCTCTTTAAAAAAGGAAAAAATAGTGAAAAGAACTCTTGAAATTAATCAAATTGATAAATGGTTAAAAATAGTGAAAACAAGAATAACCAAGATGAATTTGGAGACAAGGAGAATATTACTTTCCATTAATTGTAATACCATCACTAAGCAAAAAAGGATTAAAAAAGAAAAGAGAAGGGAAGATAAGCAGATGAGGGAGGCCAAAAATCAATTAATAAACAATGAGGAAATACAAGCAATAAACTGTACCATGTCAAGGACATAAATATATTGATTAAAGAATTAAAAAAACTTGCATTTAGTTCAATTTAAGCTAGTCATTTTGTTAATTTAACTTTGTTGTTCTTTTGGTCTCTGACATTCTATTCTCTGCATGCAAGGCTGCAAAGGCCGCTTTAGTGAACTTCTATGAGACGCTGAGATTTGAATTGAAAGATGAGGTTGGGGTAACGATAGCAACACATGGTTGGATTGGAAGTGAAATGACGAGAGGCAAGTTCATGCTAGAGGAGGGTGCAGAGATGCAGTGGAAGGAAGAAAGAGAAGTAAGTCTAGATGGTATTCGAAAAATGCATGGTCTTTTACTCAATGATACTTCCAAATAGTACCAACACTCACCATTTTTGCTATGTTGATAAACAATGTTAGTTGGATATTTGACATATACTACCATCAAATTATGCAATGTTTGATGGAATCACTTTATGGCTTATTATTGATAGTTATAATCAATGATTTTGTTAACTTCAGTCTATAAGGATGAGTTTTTTTTATTGAAACAGCATAACACATTTACTGTATTGAACTTATAAAATTATGATAAATACTTTTTTTAATAAAATCTTATTATTAAGGGATGAGATTAACATTTTCCTTTTATTATTGATTAAGGTGCATGTGACGGGTGGACCAGTAGGGGAGTTTGCAAGGTTGATTGTATCAGGGGCATGTAGAGGTGATGCATATGTGAAGTTTCCTAGTTGGTATGATGTGTTCTTACTATACAGGGTGTTTGCTCCTAGTGTTCTTAACTGGGTATTCAGGTTACTCATTTCGCCACAAGGGACAAGAAGAACTTCTTCTTATGTAGGGACTGGAAGACCCTTGGATGCTGTGGGTATGGGAACTTCTCCTACACACACTGCCATGGTTCCACTTACTTTCTCTGGCCAGTTGAGTCACCAAATGCAGCACAAGCTCGATTAATTCAAACATTCTCTGGAAATTAAGCTGTCTACTTTTCTACCTGTTTTCTTTAATTTGTATCATTGCATTCTTGCTATAAGCATGCTTTGTGGACCTATTGCCATGTTGTTGGGTTTGTGTAAAACACGAAAATAAACTTTTGTTGATTACCTAAATCCTGTCTCTTGCATGTCATCCAAATTCTTCATTTGAATGTTGATGTATTAGTATGTGCTATACACATTGTAATTAATATCATGATTTGTAAGAGATAGGCAAGATAAATAAAACTCATTGCCTAAACATTCCTAAATTTTAAATATTTTGGATTCCCACTTCACATACTATAATAATATTTGGGATTCACATGAACCACTAGATTGCATGAAAAAAATCAACTATTCGTAATATAATCAATATAGATATATTGTAAGTTTTTAATAAAAATTGCTTATTTATAATCTCTTGATAAATACCTCAAGCCATTTGTTAGAAAAAACTTATAAAATAGTCAGCAACTACTTTAAACGACCTAGTAAACCTAACAATGACAACACATGTATGTGCAACGTAAGTCACGGATACAACATTAAATTTCCTTTGGTATAAAGTGGTAGGGTACGATAGTTCTGATTTTGATGGAAAGAAAGAGTTCTAATTTGGTAAATTTAGTGCAATGGTGCATCAGCAACCAAGCTCTACTAGCCGGAAAGGTTCTTCACGCTCAAATTTTCCGTCTTTCCCTTTTCTCAGACACCTTTCTCTCTAACAACCTCATCGAACTGTATTCCAAGTGCGATTACATTGCCCATGCCTACCACGTGTTCGATAAAATACCTCAAAAGAACATCTTTTCCTGGAACGCCATTTTGGCTGCATATTGCAAAGCCAGCAATTTGCGAAACGCGTGTCGTTTGTTCCTGCAAATGCCTGAAAGGAACACCGTGTCATTGAACACCATAATTAGCACCATGGTTCGGTGTGGCTATGAACGCCAGGCCTTGGATACCTACGATTCAATGCTGCTAGAAGGAGTTAAACCCTCCCATATAACATTTGCTACTGTTTTTAGTGCATGTGGTGCTTTAATGGATGCTGATTGTGGAAGGAGAAATCATGGGCTTGTGGTCAAGGCTGGTTTTGAGAGTAATATATATGTGGTCAATACTCTTTTGTGCATGTATGCTAAGTGTGGGCTTAATGGGGATGCAATTCGTGTTTTTCGGGACATTCCTGAGCCTAATGAAGTTACTTTTACTACAATGATGAGTGGATTAGCGCAGACAAATCAAGTTAAGGAAGCTTCAGAATTGTTTAGACTCATGTTGAGAAAAGGGGTTCATGTTGACTCTGTCTCATTGTCCAGCATATTGGGTGTCTGTGCAAAAGGCGGATTCGGGGAAAGAGATATTGGTTCCTGTGATCACTGTCATGGCTTCTCAATGAATGCACAAGGAAAACAAGTACACACTCTCTCAATTAAACTGGGATTTGAGAGAGACCTCCATTTAAGCAATTCCTTGCTTGATATGTATGCAAAAGTTGGGGACATGGATAGTGCTGAGAAGTTTTTTGTTAATTTGAATCAGCGCAGTGTTGTTTCTTGGAATATAATGATAGCTGGGTATGGGAACAGATGCAACAGTGAGAAAGCTGCAGAGTATCTTCAGAGAATGCAGTGTTGCGGATATGAACCAGATGATATTACTTATGTTAATATGCTGGCAGCATGTGTCAAGTCTGGGGATGTTAAAACTGGTCGTCAAATATTTGACTGTATGCCTTGCCCGAGTTTGACTTCATGGAATGCTATACTGTCAGGTTATAACCAGAATGCAGATCACAAAGAGGCAGTTAAACTGTTTAGGAAAATGCAGTTTCAATGCCAACATGCCGATCGAACTACTTTGGCTGTTATCCTCAGTTCATGTGCTGAATTGGGACTTGTTGAGGCTGGAAAGCAGGTTCATGCAGTATCTCAAAAGTTTGGATTTTATGATGATGTGTATGTCGCTAGTAGTCTTATTAATGTGTACTCAAAATGTGGGAAAATGGAGCTGTCTAAGCATGTATTCAGTAAACTGCCTGAGCTAGATGTTGTTTGTTGGAACTCAATGTTAGCAGGGTTCTCAATCAATTCTCTTGAACAAGATGCTCTGTCTTTCTTTAAGCAGATGCGACAACTTGGCTTTTTTCCTTCTGAGTTTTCTTTTGCCACCATAACAAGTTCTTGTGCAAAACTTTCTTCTTTATTTCAAGGTCAACAGATTCATGCTCAGATCATAAAAGATGGTTTTGTAGATGACATATTTGTGGGGAGTTCCATCACAGAAATGTATTGTAAATGTGGGGATGTAGTTGGTGCCAGATGTTTTTTTGATAGGATGCCTGGTAAAAATACTGTTACATGGAATGAAATGATACACGGTTATGCACAGAATGGATATGGTCACGAGGCTCTATGTCTTTATAATGACATGATTTCATCTGGTGAGAAACCTGATGATATCACATTCGTGGCAGTTTTAACTGCTTGTAGCCACTCAGCATTGGTTGATGAAGGACTTGAAATATTCAATGCCATGCCTCAAAATTTTGGAGTTATGCCAAAGTTGGATCATTATACTTGTATCATAGATTGTCTGAGCCGAGCAGGGCGATTCCATGAAGTAGAAGTTATTTTAAATACCATACCATGCAAGGATGATGCAGTTGTATGGGAGGTTGTGCTAAGCTCATGCCGTGTTCATGCCAACTTAAGCTTAGCAAAGAGAGCTGCTGAGGAACTCCATCGACTGGACCCACAAAATCCTGCCTCTTATGTGCTTCTTGCTAACATGTATTCTTCTTTGGGAAGATGGGATGATGCACATGTTGTTAGAGAGCTAATGAGCAATAACCAGGTCCGTAAGGAACCTGGTTATAGCCAGAGCGAGTGCAAGAATGATATGCAAATTATTCTGCAAAACAACCAATAATCTTATATGACCAACTGTTAGTTATTTTACGAGAAATAAATACAACGGAGTTGTTAACAGCAGAGAACAAAATGTATTGAGGAAGAAAAAATTGTCTGTCATATATCAAAATAAAAAACATTACAAATTCTAAAGGTTAAAGGAAAACAACCACCAACTAACAACAAAAGAAAATAACCACCTACTAATAATGAGGTCCTATTATTATGTCATGATCAACAACATAAAAAGTACTACCAAACTGCATCCTAAGGAATACAAAAGTTTTAACTACTGAAATACAAAGCTAGGTGGACATGTTTCAGGCCTAAAGCAATTTCCTAACACTCTTCCTTTCTTTAGGAACTGCAAACTCCAATATTTTGTTTGAAGAACTCAAACTTACTGACCAGAAGAGGTTTAGTAAACATATCTACAACTTGGTTTTCTATTTTGTAGTCAACAAGAACAATAGCTCCACTTTTCTGCATTGCTTTTAAGAAGAACAACTTAATGTTAAAATGCTCAGTTTTGCCATGAAAGACAGGATTATGGGAAATAACTATTACAACTTGTTTATTAACAAAGATTTCTGTGCTTTCCTTCTGCTCCATGTTTAGATCAATTAAAATCTTCTTCTTCCACAAGGCTTGGTTGACAGCAGCTGAAATAGTCACAAATTTAGCTTCTGCTGTAGATTATGGGACGATTTTTTTGTTTTTTCAAGCTCCACGAAAAACACCTGACCCAAAACTAAAATAGTACCCTGAGGTACTCTTCATATCATCAATTGAGCTACCCCAATCACTGTCTGAGAAGCCTGTTAGCTTGAATTATGAAATCCACTTGAACTTGATGCCAAAATTGCAGGTGCCTTTGAGATATCTAATCACCCTTTTTGCAGCCTTGAGATACATTTCCCTTGAACAATGCATAAATCGAGACAAAATGCTTACAACATTTAAGATGTCAAGTCAAGTTGTTATAAGGTACATCAAGCTCCCAATCATGCTACTTAAATATGCTTGTTCTATCTTCTCGATTCCATCTTCCTTACAAAACCTTTTCTTTTGATTCATTGGAGTGCTCATTTCTTTGCATTTTTTAAGTTTAAATTTTTTTAAAATCTCCTTAGCATATTTCTTTTTACAAATGAGTCGTAATGTTCTCCTTGTTTGATCTCTATGCCAAGAAAGAAGACCATTAAACCAATATTTGCCATTTCAAATATCTCCATCATTTCTTTCTCAAACTTTTCCACAAGCTTTATGTTGTTTCCTGATACAAAGAGATCATCCATATAGAGTGAGATGATAAGAATGTAAGTTCCATCATACTTAACATACAATGTTGATTCAACTAAACTTTTGGCAAATCCTAAGTTTAGCAAATGTTCTTTAATTTTGCTATACCCTATCTTGGGGCTTGTTTCAACTCATAAAGCACCTTTTTTAGAAGATACACCTTGTCCTCTTCTCTTTTCCTTACAAAACCTTCAGATTGTTCAACATAAATTTTTTCATGCAAAACTCTATTTAAGAATGCCAATTTTACATCATTGATACACTTTCTAATTCATTTGAGCCGCTACAGCAAGCAACAACCTTATGGTTTGAGCATATCCTTTCACAACGAGTCTTGCCTTGTGTTTGTTGAAAGAACCGTTAGCATTGAGCTTGGTTTTGTACACTCTGATAGAGCCCAAATAGAAGCTGGGCCTGTGGAACCTTTGACCCAAATAGTTTAGGATGAAGGAGAATGATGGTTAGAGGAGAGAGGAAAATCTAGACTGTTATTTAGAATCTTGCGCTAGGAAAAAAAGGATCATTCGGTTATTTCTTGCTAATGCTAGGTTACTCTACTAGGAGCTAGGCTTTGGGTAGAGGAGGAGTCCTCCTTTTGTAATTTTCCATTTTCAATTTGGTCAATACAAGTTCCCTCTATTTTATCAACCTTTGTGTGTGATACTGTTGCTGTGAAACTAACTGTATTAAGTGGTCCGACCTGCCAGATTCCTTTTGTGTGGTGAATGCCACCAAAGAGAAAGGGAAAAGGTGTCAAACT